AAAATCAATGTAAAAATGCATGGTTCACGAATGGTCATTTTTTCCAAATACGCTTTCTACAGCAGATTGAACAGCAAAGTATCCAAAAGCTGACATCCTACCGAGTCTGAAATATTATAGGATTATGCCGCAAGATAATCAGTATTACAACCGCGCCTAAGTAATCCTTCCTGATTGAAAACGCAATTCAGAATTCCAGACAGCATTTTATGAGAGCAGTCACTCACGGCAATGGGCAACCTAAAAGTTATTTAACTCAGTCTTGCTAAGTACACTCACCCAACCGTCATCGCAATGTTATTGCTATGACAGCCCAGTCGTCGTTTCCGATGATGTCCACCGTGTGCCCCATATCAGATTGGACGGTGACCTGCACGTGAATTAGCCTAAAGTAAGAGTAGACTTACGCAGTACCTGCTGCACCCTAACATCCACCGGTCCGGTGTCAAGGCAAAGTCAAGAACACCGGAGGTGGGATCGGGTGCGGGTGCCTGGCGCGGCGCGAGCCTGAACCTAGACGTGCTGCCACACTTCCCATGTTTGGCACCTGCTATCAGTTTGCCACACAATAGCGCGTGCCACAACCTGACCTGGTCTAGCGTAACCGTCACGCACTTCGTCGCAGACGGTAATAGTAAGACAATGAAAGATGGCATAAATTTAATAGGATTTAGTAGGGAAATAGCATTTCGATAGGCATAGTTATTAATTCTGGACTTGGTGCGTTGGGCCTTTGATCGTCTTCACAACAGTTGAAAAAAGTACACTTGATTATTCTGTTTGTGGAAGATGCGTCTTTGCCAGGATAACCATCTTCAGCTCGTCCATGCAAATTTTGCCGTCGTTGTTGACATCCCAATTCCTGAGGAACTCGCGTTTCATGTAGGCCAAGTCCTCGTCATCGTAGTCCTTTTTTCCCGAAAGAAAATAAGGGGTTGGGCGTAAATTATGCGTAATAAATAGACATTTAATTTACCACTATTAAATAAGATTTCAAGACAACCCGTTAACCGAAACGCGGAATTTGACATTCCACTGATGAAACCGTTTTTAATAATTTGGCGGTAAGCGAACCCGGACACGTCTTATTAAAATTACTTCCACAATGTCATATAAGACCGCTCTGCCTGATTACCTGTGCTATTGCCACGTAATTCCCTTGAAATCGAAGAGATATTTTTAGGCGAACGTTGAGGTGCGTGCTTTCCTTGATGCTGCAAATTGAAAATTCCCAAATTTACAGGGATTAACTCTGTTGCACTAACCTCGAGATGCCTGACCTCACCAAGAAGGCAGCGAAAACCGCTTAAATTGAGCTGCATAGAGCTGTCTCACCCCTTTCATCTGAGATCTGTCTGTAAGTGAGACAAGCATCCGAGACGAAGCACTTCTTTTGGTATATTCTCCTCCGCTCGTGTAAATGATTTTTTTTCGAACGTGCAGATGTACGCTGATGAAACCGCACAGGTTTCAAGCAGCTTTATTGAAAAATTTCTATTAATCCGTCCGTTGAAAATTATGCCAAATGCAACATTTCCTGGCTTTAGACTTGCGAAAATCCCCATGTAAGTATTCAGTCTACTGGAATCTGTGCATTCCCCGCCTGATTTACCTGCGACACGACAGAAAAGGACTCCGATGGCATGCCATGATAACGGGAATCTGGACGTGGAACATGGACTTTTTGAACAGGCACGAACGCCAGCAGAACGTATGGGGCGTATGTGGTAGTTAGACATCTTGACAGGCAAGGAGAAGAGCAGATTATTTTTGGTTAACATTTAATCTCATATAATCACTTTGCTTCATTTCCAAACCTCGTGAAACAATATTGTCCTTCAGTTTTGATAGAAGAGCAGAATCTGACAGAGAAACGGCAATCCGGTCTTCTAATTCTGTTTAAGCCTACGCTGTGTAACCATTCAGCAGGGAATCAAAGGGCTTCTTGAACGCTAAACGCCTCGAGGACCATCGATTGGAACCCCTCAACCACCCTTTCGGCCAAAACGAATGTCGAATTTAACCTCTCTTATACTTGGGGAATGCATTCAAAAACAACTCCATCTCAAACCCTCTATGTTACCACCTGTTCCATTCAGCTGTCCAACCGCAGTCACCAAAAAAACATTAGGAAAGCGGCTGAAAGGTGGAATAACAACTAGGATGTTTTGTCAGCCAAAGTGTTTCCCAGAATTTAGAGGGACGGTCATAGGAAGGCGAATGAGCCAACAATCATCCAGGCCTCAGGCTTAAGCCTTGGGGTTATTGTAACCAAATTTCTTTACTCGCTTTGATTACGGCGTTACCTCCATCCTTGGGCGGGCTGTTTACTGCACTGTTGCATGCTTTTGTTCAGAGTAAACCGCCCCTTATTATTAAAAACTCAATATTACAGTTGACAGAAAACATTTGGGGAAATCCTGTCACAAACCACTTGGCTAGTTGCCATTGCAGACACAATTGTAATGCCTTTGTAGAGCATTCAAAGCATTTTATTTGCCAAAAATCAGTCATCTTGTGCCTGGGCAGACCCGGATAGCGGACATGTTCGCCGTTCACCTATTATATCGGTCAGCGTCTTACATTTTAAAGGAAAGATAAGTGGAATTACAGAAATTTGCAAGTCTCCACTTTACAAATGATTCGGTAAGTAAAACATAATTGCTCTGAATAATTACAGTAAGTGGGCTAACTCATGAAAGGTCGGCCGAAATTTCGGAATGAATTCTCATTTCGAAAAAAGTAATTAAGCATGGTTGTAAAGTTTATCACCATTCTCCATAATTTTATAATGATCCAGTTACCCCAGGGTGTCTTTTTTCGAATGAACGTATTTTCGACTGCATGCAAGAACTATACTCTGCAAACAAATAACTACCTAGGTAGAATGCAATTTTCTCGTTGATTTTCGAAGCCCTTAAAAGTTCTATTATATTTCATGAAAAGAATGCACAAAAATAGTCATTCCTTATTTATTCGTTAGAAAATCACGTTTTTTTTAATTTTTAAACTCAAAGGGAAAGTACAATTCGGTTTCAAAAAGTTTCCAAAAGTGAGGTATTTTACTAGCGTGAAATGGTCTTTCATAAAACGTCACGTATCTTTATTTACCAATGTGGCTTGTAAAGTTAACAATGTGGCCAAGTCTACTGCTTAATTTTATGAAATTCATATGGTCCCCTCTTAATACCGTAGAGAAATATATGATTTTCCGTACACAGAAAATATACGGCTTGTAGTGTGGAAGCCCTGAAAGCAAGTACAACAGCAGGTCGGGTTCAAAATTAATCGGGAATTAGCAGCGTTTTTAAAAACAAAATTATACTATTTTTGAGTATAAACTTGGAAGAAGACCAAATGTTCTACCAAATAGGTAAAAGAGTGAATATTTTGCGCATGTTTTCCATGAAATATAATTGAATATTCAAGGGTATCGAAAATCAATAAGAATAGTGCATGCTAAATAAGAAGTTATTTTTTTGCTGAGTATAATTATTGCATGCAGTCGGAAATACATTTGTTTGAAAGAAAACACCTCGCGATACCTGGATCATTATAAACTTATGTGGCATGCCGACAAGTTTTACAACCCTACTTAATGAATCTTTTCGAAAAGACGACGCATTTCGAAATTTCGGCTGTATTTCCTACGGTAGGTTTGCGGGAATTCTAGTGGTTGGACGGCCTACACAAAGCTCCGTCTTTTAACCAAATGCTTGCCGTTTGGTTATGCTGGTACCACTCGCAACAAACGAATTAAAGTTTAACACCTTCAAAATAGGTTGTCCATAACGGGTGTCCTAAAAAGAGTTCCCAAGATCGAGGTACACAAACGACGCTTACAGTGTCACGCAGGGAACCACCATCGTCCAAAGTTAATTATAACATGTCAAAATTCAGCTACGGCGAGGAAACATTTTAAAGCAGATTACTTGGAATATTTGGGGTTTAGAAAACAATAATCAGTATTTAACCCATTTGTAATAATAATATTTTAATGGTCTTCCGGGCCTTTATGGACATCTCTTTTTGCTTGCAATTCTGACTGAATAAATGCTGAAAATGCTTTCGTTAAATCGCAAAGACCGTCCCTCGTCTTCATTCGCATTTGTCAAGTCTCGCACTGAAAGTCACTCTGGACGTCTTCGTTTTTCTGTGATTTCTGAATGTTGTTTCGTTTCTCTTTTGGTTTTAGCAGTAATTCATAGAAAGTAAGTTTTCGTCTTTAATCTGACGAATATTTTAGGGAAAAGTGTTCTCCAGTTCTCAACGCGGTCATGTAATCGCTCGCCCATATTCGCCTCTCTTATGCTTAATTTCCAACAAATTACCGTAACTTCACAATAAAAGCCGGGTTTTTTAAACTTTCCTCTCAACCACAACACCCACACGTCTGTTGGAGCACTCAGGCACGCGATCGCGCCCAGTAAATCGACTGTCTTGCATTTGTTGTCCAAGACCAATTCGGCGTTTCAAACAATTGTTTGAGAATGCTTCACCTCCCACTTACAAAACAACCGAAAAGCCAGTCGAACTGGCCATAATTTGTGACAAAAACGTCTGCTGACCTCCCACTGGCTGCATTGGTGTTCAGCGGGTGATTTTTCGCTGCGCAAATTTCAAGGGTCTACCAAATCAGCAATCGTTTTGGCTGTTTGAAAAATTTTTAGTCAGTACCGCCTTTTTCGTGCGGGTGTATAATCGCCTAAAACGGGACACGTAGTAGATGCGCAGGATCAACAGGAGGGTCATATCGAATTATGACAGGAGTTATCGGATTTGCATCCCACAACAAATGCTAACATTTTGGGATGCGGTGACGGACCCTGTTGTCGGCAGACGTCGAGCACACTTAGACCCCTGCCGTCCCCCTTCATTGCTGTTGCTGGTCAAAAACCTGGTCATTTGTTGTGTGGACCAGGGTGTGTGAATTAGAGCGTCAAGGTGCGAGCTCGACCGCGTCATCCACCTGCTCCCACCCCCGCCTCCGGTCTTCCTGACTCTGACCTGACACCAGGTCCAGGCGGGGGAGGAGGGGGGAGGGTGCAGTGGATGCATTGCAAGTCCACATTCACTGTAAACTAAATCGCGCGCCAGTCAGCATCCTTGCTTTCACCCTGCTGTGAAGCACACGGTAGACATTGTCGGAAACGACGGTCGAACTGTCATATGGCCAGTCCTTCAATTGTTCAGAGAGAAATGTAGCGCAAAAAAGTGGGAATATCGATGAATTGGTCCCAAGGGGAACACAGCTGTTTCACGTTAACGGTGCAACATCCAAAGGAGGCGTAGAAGTTTGTCTAGCAGTTAATGCCTACTGGCGATGTGATTTACCCTGATTGGATATTCTGTGTCAGCAAATGGAGTCGTCTCTTTTTAGATGTCATTAATCTGCATAGGTGTTGTAACATGCAATTCAGTTCGAATATTTGGCTTGCGCTTCTAGCATAGCGCACTGATTATCTGTGGCTAAAGTCAGCCAAGGCTATTCAAAATACAAAAGCTGGAAAAACGTATTTGTATTACGGAATTCCTGCCTCGTGAAAAGAACTACAAAGTCTATAATCAATACACGGACTGCCGACAACGTCATCCAAATCGATTTCGTTGCATGGGAATGAAACTGTCGATCAAAGACAACGAAAGTTGCACTAGACTGAGCTTAAGCCTTACCTCTTGGGCCAGTTCCAGCAGGTCCTTGAAAAATGCCTCCAGCTCCTCGCCCTCCATGTAACCGTTTTTGTCCTGTTAAGAGAAGAGGAAGACATTAAATTAATCTCCGCGTCTCAGTTTCGTTTCAATCAACTGGTCAAAGAATACTCCGTTTAAGCCTTAAAAGTCGCAATTTTGTTACCCTCGCGTCTTACCAGTCCTGCTAGAAATAGGCGAGTTGATTTTCGAGTGTTAAATAAAGATTCTGTTTATGCACTTAGCAAGAAAAAATGAGCCGTATACGCAGTATACAAATATTTTTGGCTCAGACGCAAACCATTTCTGAAAAAGGGGAATTTGTGAGCTACCGTCTTTTTGGAATTTAAATTGCATCAAGATATTTCAGTCCATCGCTGACATCTGCGTGGAAGATCGCCTAGGCACTCCTAGACAACTGCAATGTTCAAACAAATCGTCGAGTTGGAAACGTCTGGATATTCAGTGAAATTTTAATTTCCGTTTCTATAGCGTTATATGTCTTCAGCAATACCTAGTATGACCAGAGCAAAACGAGTATAAAGACTACTGAATGGTTATTTTTTAATGGCATAGCAGTGTGTTTAATGACATACACCTGTTTTAATCTAAAATCCTCTCGGCCAAATCAGAGTGAGTGCTGGTTGACTTGCACTGCATCTACCGCACTCCCTCCTCCCCCAGCCTAGCCAGCTGTCTAGACAGAGACAAGAATACCAGAGGCAAAAGAGGGCGTAGTTGGCTGGCACGACGCAAACCGGCACCCAGACCTACCACCAAATTCCTTGATCCACAACGAAAACTGACCGGGATTTTACAAGCAGGAGGGGAAGAGGGGACGGTTCAGAACCCACTGGGTGGGGGGGAAGGGTGCTATAGAGGCCACATTAAGAGTCATTGCAGCCTGAATCTCAGTCTCTCAGTCTGCCATTCCAAACAAACACACACACACTGGACCGACGCGAGGTCTGAGTTATCTTGACACCAGCTGCCCAGCTGTCTGTACAGAGACCAGTCGTGTTTTAGGAGCAGATGGGCGCTGACGGTATCCGTGGTTGAGCTAGCAGCAATTTGCTCCCTACGACTGCCCAGCTGGTAACGTTTCCTTACTCTGTGCGTGACAGACACTACCTGACCGATTCAATTTTTGAGTTCACCATGACGAGAAGGACCCAGCAAATGCAGTGGTTGACCGAGATAATCCGCCAGTTGACGGGCCTTCGAAAACGGATTTTAAACGATCAGCTGCGTCGTATAAATTACGTTTGGCAACGTCTGCGAAGCCTGATTGGTTGCAAGTCAGAACGGATTAATTATTTACGTTGCTTATTTCCGTATAGTCAGGGTAAAAGTCAATAGCAAAACAGTTTCCAACTTTGCCCAAAAAATTTTTCATCTCCTACCTATAGCGTCTTTAGAGCTTACTAAAACTCTCGCATCACGAGTACAGTCGGTGACCGATCTCAGAAAACGTTTGACAAAATTGTGAAATGCGTTTTAGATTTAGAAGGACTATGTCAGTGGTGTTGCGATACAGAGTATCGTGCAGCTTTATCTCAGAATACTTCGGTCACGCAATGGTCACGTTTTTAAGGCATTTCTTCTCGGTTGCCTGCAGAAATCGCCGTCGGTAAAAAGGGGTACGTATGCACTTACACATTACTTTCCGAAGTGCATGTTATTTCAAATCATTTATATATATGAAGATAGAGGGCTCGTCGGAAGTATATATGTAATATCGGAGGGGCGATCACCAATCGTTCTTACAGAACTCGACAGTTCCATTGTGCCTAACGGGTTCTCTCTCATTATACCCACTCGACAGTAACTCAAGTTGCCCTTAAACTCCATGCTCGAGGATGAGGTATCTTTCGATTTTAAAAATTCATTCAATCTTCTAAAAATTTTGAACCAGATCTACCGTTGCATTAACGTTTATTTCACATTCTGCAGACCGCATAATTTACATACATGAAAAATCACACGTTCCCCTGGGCTGTTAAACAGATACTATATGAGACTCATAAGCTTTTGCCATAGATGCAGCTTTTGCTGCTAGCTTCATAAGAAGCATAAAAAAGGGCGCAAATACCACGCTGTTTAAATAGACATTTTCTGGTCTTAAAAATTTACTGAAATGTTGATTTATTTAAATTCTAGGGATGCCTTTTCGTCGTGTATAAAGATAAAAAAGGTCCTGAGGTACTATTAAATGAGCACAATAAATGAAATTTTTGAAAATGTTTTCAACAGAATATAGCCAAATCTATATGATCATCGAAAACGCATGGAAAAAATAATGCTTTGGCAGTAGTCATTTTTGACAAATGCGGTTTTTACAGAGAGCCACAAAAAAATTCCTTAAAAAGCTGACATTTCTAAATGCGGTTGATAGTTCATTATATTTGCCAATGATTGTAGATTTCATTGTCTGGACATGCATTCCGTGCAACTTTTGTATTTTAATACGTTGAAACAGGCAGGAATGTAAAAATTGCCAATGTGACTCAAATTATGGGGATTTAATCAAATAGTGGCTTACCTCATCGTAATACGAGAAAACTTTATTGATGTCCGCTATGGTAATGTTCTCCATATTCTTAAAAAATGGCTTCTTCAAGAAGTTCTCTTCGACGGGAAGCAGTCTGAAATGTATAAAGCAATCGATATTAAGTAACAGAAGACAAAATTAACAGCTGTATGTAATACATCGTTGAATTGTAGTCAGGTGGTGCAGTCGTCTTCCACTTTTTATATGTCTAGGACAATCAATTGACTCCTATTTTTCACGTTCTTCAAAGGTCGCATGATTCCAGTTGGCGGACGTCACAACTCCCCACCAGATTCAGGCAATCTCTTTCACTCTGTCCAATGATCCGGAAATAGAATCACTAAAACCACTTAGGTCACATAAAGTTCGTTTTCTACTTGATGGTTTTTAAATCTGTGCGACTTGTGTTTTAAAGAAGTTTTTTTGGTCTGGACGCTACGTGGCATAAAAATGGGATCGTTGTAACGGTCCAAGACTTGGTAGGATTATGAGTAGCAAAGCAAATGTTAGGTTGGAAGCGGGAATAGGCATCCTCCCGGAACAACAGGAGGTCTTGTGCCGAATTTAAGAGGGTATACATTTCCGTACCATAAATGTAACCCAAACCCTAACTCCGGTCCCTTGGAATTGAGCACGAGACCAAATCTGCTAGGGTGGAATATAATACCCTCTCCTACCAAGTATCGAACTTCATATAAAATAACTATTTGAGATAGCTCTAAACAACTAAACAATAAGGGGATTTTGCGAAGCTCTTGTAGACAGCCAAAGCACTGAAAAGAGTAGCACTGTGTAATTTCCTTCAAAAATATCCTGAAATCCAAATAAGTATTTTTACCCTTCTACAGCAGAATTTGTCCAAAATTATGAAATGCGCTTCCAACTTAAATGGATTACCTAAGTAGGGTTGCAATATTTATCACTGTGCGCCATGGCCCCAAAATAATTCAATTACTTTAGGATGTCGGCTATTGAACAAACGTTTTACGGCCGTCTACAAAATCTGCGTTCTGTGAAAGTGACTACTTAGTTAGCATGAATGTTTCTCACTGATTTCCGATTTACAATGCCCTTATAAATTCGACTATTTTTAATAGAAAAAAATGCGATAAAAATACTCATTCTTTTACTTATTTGGAGACTGAATCATCTTTAAATTTCATATTTGAATGAAGGTTATAGTTCAATTTTTGAAGTTTCAAATTATGAGACTTTTTAAGGCCATGAAATGGCCATTCATAAGACATCGCGTTTCTGCATTTACTGACGTTGATGATAAGGTTTAATTTTAGCTTAAATTAACTGCTAAGTTTCATGAACCCCAATTTGTCTCTTCTTAATAATGTATAGAAATTTTTGACTTTCCGTACACATAAAAAATGCAGCTTGTAGCTCGAAAATCCTGAATGCAAGTAAAACGACCGGAAGAGTTCAAAATTACTGGGAAAGTGTAAACGCTTATTAATTTCGAATTATGCTCTTCCTCCAAGACGTTATAGTCTATCAACGGCGTAAAAGAAAGAATATTTTTAGTTCATGTTTTTCATACGGAATATTCGAATTCAAAAGGGCATCGAGAATAAATGAAAAGAAAACGTGCTAACTTAGAAATCATTTTTCACAGAACGTAGATATTGCAGACGGCCGTAAAACGTTCATTCAAAGGCCGATCTTCTGAAGTAAGTGAAGTATTGTGAGGCTGTGGCCCACAGTGATTAATATTCCAACCCGCCTAGATAACCATTTGAGTAGAAAACGCATTTCGGAATTTCAGCTAACATGCATCAACTACCACATCTACAGTAGAAAATGTCCATTCAAGAAATTCAAACGTCCATTAGTGTTATTTAAGACAAAAGTTGAACCTGAGGCAATGATTTTATTGCATTTTCTACAGTTAGTCGTGCGAGCGCGATTTCCTACACGTAGTTCCATGCGCCACGCATGACGAATAGTCGTAAGACTTTTATCTTAGATGTTTCCCAACTCTACGTCAATGTCCTCTTCCAGTCAAAAAGCATCAACAGGTAATACGGCAAAAAACTCCGAGCCCTATTTTGATGGAAAACACACAAGGGAGATGTTTTGATAATTTTACTGTTCAGTTCTCTCTGAGACCGACACGCCGGATGCTCGATTTCGTTAGATGAAAGTTTACCAACCTTGCCATCTCACTGAGCTGTAACCGTCGGTCCTTGTTCTTGTCAAAGATTCTGAGCTGGAATGAGGGGAGTGGAAGACAGGAAAGCAGGGCGGAAATAAAGTGTCTGTGATTAAACTCTGCAATTAGAACGGGGGAATTCCTTTGAAGGCAGCGGCCTTCTCGAAGGCAAAACTCCGGTTTTAAGGGATAGGTTGAATAGCTAAAGAAATCCGTCTTCTTAACGGGTGTTTCCGGAAGATAATTTGGGGATAAATCAAAGAAGGGAGACGATGCTGTCTACCGGACATTGAAAGATCACATCAAAATGCGGCTAAACAGTGAAGTGTAAGGGAAGATACACACGATGAGTTAGACTGTAGTCAGACAACGGTGGCGAAAAAATAGACATTTAGTTCGATGCGGTGAACCCAGAAATAAAGTATTTTAGAGAGGAAACTTGTTCAATTGAATCAATGACAAGTTAAACGCTTAGCCACCGAAACTATCACGAGAACGTGTTGTAGATAGACTACATTCACACGCACTTGCCTGTTCTGTAGGCTATGTGTTCCTGCCGACGTACACAGTCAGTGATCTCTGTTGTTTCAAATTATTGGGATAATTGCGCTGAGTCGAGCCAGTTTTGACCGAATAAGTTACTTTTTAAATGACGACAGATAGACCGTCGTGAACGACTATGTCCATGGTGCGTTCTAAAGTGTAATAAGCACGGCGCCGGTGATGGCAGACTTGCACTGTGCCTACTGCACTCACACCTTCTTCCGCCGGCTGAGCCCGGTTTCATACTAGCATCATAAGAACAGAAGGCAGTGACTGATAAAGGCAATTCGCCTGTCTGCAAGCGCCACGCAAGCCGGGTCTGTGCATGATGAAACAGGGTATCACAGAGATAAGATACGGACGGTCTGGGTCTCTTCTGTGCGGGAGCGCCATAGAGGCCAAATTGCAAAGGAACCAGTGAAACCTGATCCCTCATCCTGGGAGGACTGGTTTATCCCGTCGGTTGACAACCGTCCAATTCTCGGCTTTTAGCGTACCGTCGCAGTTTAAAAGCGTGTCTAATGAACTCAACATAAAATATCGCAAAAGGAGGCAGATTTGCATCGATCTGTTCGTCAAAATGCAGACGAATATAAATAGACACCCTAGTACAAGTTTCGTAATTATAAGATGAAGGAAATTTCCATGCCTTTTCTCAAGCTCAAGCCTTTAACTTCTTGACAGATTTAACCATCAGATTTACGAAAGACAATTGGCTTATTATTGCCAATAAAAGCGAAGAGACGAGTCCCAGGAAGTAGTCTTGAAGAAGGAGACACGATCGCAGGGACAAGAGCTTTATTAGCCTGACGTTTCGGATTTCTACTCGAATCCATTATCAGAGACAAAAAAGCAGAAACGGGTGGTTGTTGCACAGGGGGCTACGGTATTTATAGGATGCAGTAGCCATGCTACCGCATACCTATGAAAATTTACGGCTCCCCCCTTCATCCGGGATCGTCGCACTTGGTGTGATCATTGCTTGATGGCCGACATTCGAGTCGATAATTGCTGCAATCTCATCACATGCGTTGGATGTTGGCGTGATGATTGCTCGACCATCTGACGCACCGACCCCGGCGTTGGGAAAAGTGTTCACCTCTGCGCTCCCCACATGGCTTGTTACTCCGCCTAGGCGAAATTGTAGCACGCAGTATGAAGTGGGAAGCTCGTTGCACTTGTTGATGGACTGGGGGCCAGTAAACCATGATTACAGTAGCTCCCGGCTCACTCGGTTGTCACCTCTTGCGAGAATTTCGGCTTCATGGAATTTGAATGTGTGGCCGGATCTCGTCGAATGAGCCGCAACTTGAGAGCTGGCGTCATTTCTGCGCACCGCTGCCGGGTGTTCGGCTATTCTCGTTCGGAGCTGTCTTCTGGTTTCTCCCACGTAGTTGCTTTGTCCGCAACTGCACCAGATCCGATAAACGACTCCAGACGTTTCTAGCCATGGCAGTGGGTCTTTCGGTTTCATGACCAGACGCCTGATGGTTGCCTTACGGTCTGTGTGCCACTCCAACCCCAAGTGGCGCGAGAAGGCGGCCGACAGCTTCCGAAACGTTCTTGACATGCGGAAGTGCCCGTCAAGACTTGGTGTCCGTGCGGTTAGACCTTTCGTCCCTTTTGCGTATACACCGGTCGACGAAGTTGCGCGGGTAGCCATTGGCTTTGAAGACCCGTCGGAGGTATTGTAGTTCGGCAATTTTGTCTTCCGGCTCACTGCAGTGCGTTTCGACACGCCGATAGAGCGTCCTTACACAACTGCGTTTGTGGCTTATTATATTATTTCTAATACGAAGATGATGAACACGCCACCTCTGGGGCAGTACATGTATTAGCCTGAGCTTTCGGTCTCGTGTAGGAGGCCATCGTCAGAGACTATGAGAATGCGGCGTCAAATGAGCAGTTCATATAGTCAAGCTATGAAGGGGGGGATTGGAGTGCACGGGGTGGTGTGCGCGGTGAGGCTGAGTTCACGCCATCTCACGGCGGAGTGACTGCGTGCACCCTTGGCTGGGAATTGGGTCTCGCCTCTTGTTCGCGGAAACGGCGCGCGTTATGGAGTTTATTTCAGACACCCGGGCCTCCTGTTCTCGCCCTGTCTTATTTCTAGCTCGTGCCATCATCAGCGTGCTCGCGCAGTTGAATTCGTGGCCGTCCTCCAGGGTGTGAGTGGCGACCTGAGACAAAGGGTTGCCTCTTCGGACTGCTCTTCTACGCTTCCTTATTCCCGAGCTAAGCCGTCGTCCGGTCTGTCCTGTGTAATGGTGAGGGCAGATCCGACATGGGATCGGATAAACGACATCCGATTGTTCTCCTACGTCTAGCCGGTCCTTCACTCGCATGATTTCGTTGCACGTCGTCGCTGTCAGACTGTGAGCGATACCCACGATGAGCTCTCCAGCGATACGTTTCGTCGCTTCAGGCGCATTCTTTATAATATGGTAGAGAGTACCGGCGTGTTGGCGGCTCTCCTCCGTTTGTTTGCCGTGGGTGCGTGCGAAGGCGGCGGCGGCTGACGAAGCTGTTCGGGTACCCATCCCTTGCCAATTGGTCTCGAGGATGACGTACTTCTCATACTCGTCCCTCTGGTTCACTGCAGTGGGTGTATCAACACAGCTGCGTTTATGCGTCATTGGGTGGTTACTATGGTAATTGAGTATCTGAGTCGTGTTTATCTCCCTTCTATACACCGCGGTGCCGAGTTCGCCGTTGGGTGTGCGTGTGACGAGAACGTCATGGAAAGGCAACTGTTCGGCATTTTCTTCTTCCCTTGTGATCTGAATGTCCAGGAAGATGCCGTTAAGCAGGTCTTGAAAGACTGCTAGTCCGCTACTTTCAATTATTACGAACGTGTCATCTACGTAACGGCTCCAAAACGCAGGTGTACAGTGGTCGAGGGGAACTTTTTCCGGCTCCTTTTAGATTAATTCCGCAACCAGACTGGATATTGGCGAACCCATCGGTGTTCCTTCAATCTGCTCATATGTTCTGCCATTGAAGGTGAAAAAGGTTTGTTGGTAGAAAGCAAAGATTTGCAGTAAATGATCAATTTTAGAGGCCTGCTCGTTTCGTCTTACTTTTCTGCGAGTCGTTTGCGTAGAGCGTCGCGTGCCAGGTCTGGTGGGATGGATGTGAATAATGAAACCACGTCAAAGGACACCATAATCCGATCAGGTTGGACAACTTTTCCTCGGATGTCGGCCAGGAATTGAGAGGTCGAATTGATGGAAGTCCTCGAGCCTTCTCAGAGAAAGCTAAGTTTTCGGGCCATCCACTTGGCTAGATTGTAAGTGGGGCTGCCTTTCAAGGCAACGATCGATAAAAGGGGAAAATTGGGCTTATGGATTTAGGGTAATCCATAAAACCGGACCAACGTTGTATCCGTTGTTTTCATCTGTCGCCATTCGTCTAGAGATATCACATTGTTGCGTTTGAGTCGGTTGAGCAGTCCGGTTAGTTGATCAATCATCGATTTAGCTGACGAGGAAGGCGTGGATTTGTAGGACTTTTGGTCGTCGTTGTAATCAACGCGGTTCATCACGACGGTTGCGTTTCCTTTGTCGGCTGGCAGCACTATTAAATTCTTGTCCATTTTTAATTTCTTTACTGCTTCTATTTCTGCGGGCGACATATTACTGGTGGGCCTATTCTTCAGTAGTAGGGTAGTGACTTTCTCGGGCGCACAGCGTGTTAAGCTTCGTCGGTTGCGTTGGTTCATACTAGCATGGCTTCGAATGCAGCGTCGAATTCGGCTTGTTTAGCAACCGCCGTAGTAAAGTCGGCTTCACGACTAAGTACTCTCGGTTCTTGTTCAGTTACCTACCTGGAAGATCGATTGTGCGCCACATTTTCGCTTGTTTTGTATTGGGGTTTCAATTTTTCCCAGCTTATTGGTAATTTCTCAAATAAGTACCAGCAGATTATGTATCGTCACTGTTCTGAAAAACTTAACAAGCCATAAGCCCTGTTGCGTGCGGAAAATGCAGAACTGGACGTTTTCTCATATTGGCAGTTTTTCGGAATCTCTTGCATAATCCTGCTTTATGCGAAATTTTTCATCCGTCAGAGGACGTACGAGCTTTGCTTCGGTAACTTCGGAACGGCGAACAAAACTTGTCTCGCAAATATGAGCTAGCTGACATTGTTTAAACGCCTGTGTTTGCCACTAGCTTAGCTCACTGTAGGGAGACGCTCCTCTTTGATGGCATCGGAAAAGCGATGAACAGCCACTCAATGTTGCATCAGAACTCTTCAAAACACCTCTTATATGAAGGGATGCCGGACGAAGTGCCTTATGGAGCTACCGATGAATAAAGTTGCCCGAGGCACAAGAGTCACGAAGCTTATAAAGAACCGACGAAATAGGGGGATAAATAGTATGGAGGTATATGCAGTATTTCATACGGCGTTTTCATTCCCACCCCGGTATGCTGTTCAGTCGCATCTCAGTGGAAAATGTTAAACTGCCTTACTCATCGCATTTACTTTATTTCGGTTAACAGCTGAAGGATTCACATGAGGGATTTGACGTCAGATTTAGGATAAGTGCAAAGAGATAAAGCTACCTTAAAGGCAAACAGTTTAGAAAGGCCATATTTTGGCATGGCCTAAGTACAACAAAATGAGAGCACACGACGCAGCACTCCAAGGACTTAACTGTGGTCCTGAATATGTAGAACATACATCTGCGAGTGACCAACACTTTTACTGGAAGTTGGTGCTCGGGCTTTTTTGAAAAACTTAAAATGAAAAGTGTTGTCCTGCCGGACTGACTGTTCTACTCAGAAGGGTTTTTTGACTTTTTCTGAGAGACTCTCAGCCGCCTTAATAGCAAGCGGCGCATATTGCTTGTTTGAATTACCCTTTACACATGGCCTGTTATCAGAACGCTAAGGTACGAGCACCAGAAAACAGCCGATGGGACAAAGATGCAACCGCCGGTACCGGAAATTTATTTGCCTGAAGTTTCAGATTCACATTCGAATGCATCATCTGCCCCATCTGTTGCTGTCTCTGACGATGGACTTTAGTAAAAATCCGACACGTTAAGCAAAAAATAATTCCTGTCTCAATGATCGCATCTCTTTCCTTTTGATGATAATTGCGTCTGACCATTACACTAATTCCAAAAACGGCACTGCGGAATTCCTCCAGAAACCTCCGGAAGTTACGATAGTCGGCCCGTACAAATGTCCAATATTGAAAGGCCTCTTTTACTAATAGGCCGTTTTTCCGCCTCATGCGCCAGAAATCCTACATAACATTTCCGGGCGGAAAAAGATTTTAAAGTTAAAATTGTGGGCGCAGGGCGTTCAAAAATAAGTAGCGGATTTTCAATTCGTTCAACTATATTAACGGGCGGGGGAGTTTTCTGCGTCTGTGTGTGTGCACGCACGGGGTTTAGCTGCAAAATGCATTAATCAAGGGCGTCGAGTGAATTTGCTTCATTAAGTCTAAAACGACATGCAAGCCATACGGCGAATAATCAACTGGAAGCAAGATACAAATCGCAGGCTGATAGGGCCTTCAGAAATACGACCTTCAGGCCTTACTTAAGCACTATCTTAGGGAAATTTTGCAAGAGGCAGAACGTTAAACATTTGACGAATGATAAAGCGCTGTCAAAGCTGGAATGTATATGGGGCAGAAGGTTCTGCATTTTACTGTACAATTTTGCACTAACCGTGATGGGGGGAGAATTCGTTTTAATAAAGAAAAGTAAACAAAGGTGAACTGGGGCTTGCGTAGTCACCCGTTTTGTAGGATAGGTGTTTCAACCTTCTTATTTGCCCTATCAAGTGGAATTAAAATCAGTCGAGATGTGCGCGAAACATTCGGAGGTAATTCCACGTTGGAAGTAAATATACTGACTTTGTTTCTTATTGAGACAAAGCTTTGGAGTCTAGTCATCAATTCTCTCACTTTATCAGATAATATGCCACTTAAATGACAAAGGCATGTTTTAGAATTCGCAAAAGTCACATTAAAAGGCGAGTTTTTATGGGTTTACAGTTATGTTGCGCAGACTGTCTGGATAGAGTCGTTGTCTCCGGATCCCGCTTTCCTTCACAAGACGCAACAGAAATGGGGGTGTTCAAGAGATTAAAACAAAAGTCACTGAGAGGAAGTTTAAAACGTGACCGCTGCGCTCTTGAATAAAATAGGTTTTGGTCTCAGGTAAGGCCCACTTACCAAGTTATCAGTATATTCGATCAGTTTGTCCTCACCAACTTCATTGCCCTTCTGTGTGTATTTAAAGAGTTCCTTGAGAAAGTCCTGCAGAAAATGGGGAAGGTGCACAGAGAGTTTCGGAAATGGACGTTAGGTAGTTGAGTTCCGTTTTAAGTGAATCCAAAATGGCTATTGCAATATTAAACACTAGGCATGCTAACTCATGAAATGCTAAGCGAAATTCTGAAATGTGCTTTTGACTCGAAAAAATTACCTACGTAGGGTTGTAATACTAATCACGGTGCGGTATAATCCTATGATACCTCAGTTTCTGTGGGATGATGGATTTTAAATGCACTTTTTTTCGCAGCTTGCACAGATTACACTCTGTAAAAATAACTGCTTATGTGGTGCGAATTTGTATAATTGATTTTCGATTCCCTTATACATTCAAATAAACTTTTAGAAAACGTGTGTAAGATATCTATTATTTTACTCATTCGACAGAAAAGTATGTCTTCTTCAAATTTTATACCTGTAGGAAGGGTATTATTTGGTTTGAATGACTTATCCAATTTCCGAATAATTTTGAAACCAACATTCCCTTGCACTTGCAGTCAGGGTTTGTAAATTACATGCTTTTTTATTAATGCAATCAAGAGAAGAACGTATAGATGATTTTAAAATTCACTAGCGCAATTAAGCATATTGGGAACTTTACAAGCATCATTAATTAATGCAGAGACACGATGCAGACACACGTTTATTAACGGGTATTTCACAGTCTTAAAAAATCCCATAATTTGAAACTTAAGAAAACCAAATTATGCCATTTCTTCAGATATAAAATTTGGAGGAAACTTTATTTTCCAGCAAATGTGTACATTGATGAATATTTTACACACACTTCCTATAAACTTGATTTAAATACATAAGGGTATCGAAAATCATTGGTAAAATTTCGTGCCACATAAGTACAAATCTTTTACTGAGTGTAATCTTTGCAGGCTGCCGAGAAGAAGTTCCTTCAATCGCTGACATACAAAAGGAACCGAGGTATCATGGGATTTTGATGCACAGCTACTTATATTACAACCCTACTTAAGTTATCTTTCTGAGCCGAAAACACATTTTATAATTTTATCTAAAGATGATCGACAAGGTACGGGGTGGTCGCAGGAGAAAAACCAGAAACAATCTGGTCATTTGCAGTGATTCATTTAAGAATAAATTACTCTCTTGAGTTACAGACATATCACTGCACACCATATGAATAACGCTGGTTATGAGGTTAACGTCACACAAGCTAGGCAGAGCATTAATGCACGTAACTTCGGGAAAATTCTTCCTGCTCAAAATGTTCATTGCATCAACGAAAAACTCAGGTCGCCTGCACGAATAAAAATTATTTTTTTAAAAAAGTTGCATTAAGCTTGATTTTAAGAAAGCATCCTGAATTAATGTACTTCTCTTCCTTTTAGTGGATCATGCTGCGCTCACTTTACAGAAGAGATCCAAAACAGGTTCACTAGCCAACCAAAAGCATCACTGCTGACTGTTTCTTCATGGTATGCGCCAAATTAAGAATTCACAGCGAAAAACTACAAGCAATTCAACTCCACCGCGTTTTGCGTGTTTCAGCAAGCTATCATTAAGGTGTAACACGCTCAGCCCTGACTGCGCAAATAGACCTCCCTAACTAACATTTCGGAGTCGCACACAGACATTAAAACAACAGCTGTTAGTATCTAGGTTTTTCACAATTGAAACCTTCAAAAGTCAGTTTCCGGCCTAGACAATGATAATGCAAGGTTATTTCATGTCTTCAAATAAAGCCTTTTTGTGTTTTTTGTTGCCCTCTCCATCACAGAATTTGGCTAGGATGCAGTCAGACCAGAACCCTGACAACTGTCTCCTGATAAGCAACTGCGTTTTCTTTTAGAAATTCAGACGAAATTAAAAGGCAAAATAGACACTTAGCCGGGCCATTAGAAAACTGGATGGTCTAAAATGGGGACCACCGTTTGTTACTTCCACCCCAATGCTCTTGTTGGCTTCTTTCGAAGGGCACTAAAGGATGGCCCAACGGTTGCTCATTTTTGGAAATATTTTTTACGCAGAAATGTCTTCGTTGTCTTTACCTTCCTTGTCTGTTGGCAACGCCCTCTGGCAGTCTTTTTTCACCTGTCGTTCGACGTTCGTGGCCGTTTTTACCCCTTTCTCCCATCCACCGGCAATCTAGACCATGACCTTGGAAACTGCATTTACGCTCTGCTTCGTGATATTTGTACAGAATACATTAAAGGACCCTCTAGGGGTGTCCTGGTCTCCTTTTATTTACAAGTCTCCGACTACCGTTTTTCTTGCATTATGTCACACAAAAAAACAGGCGTAGAACTCAGAAGTCAGACTAATGGCGTGGGAGGCTATAATGGACATTTATGACCTTTTTTGCCATCAGGCTTTTAATATTCGGGACGCATTTTTTGTCCTGGGCTGAAGATGTGTTGGCGAATGTCATGTAGAATTACGTTGCAATCCGTAGGATTCACTTGTTTTGCCCCGCACATCCCGAACTATGCACTCCAGTAATCCAAGACTGTAGAGTAGCTTAAATGACTAACTAGGGCTTTTTTACTTCAGTGCCGCCTCCTAACTTTGCGTCCAACATAATATCTGCTCGTCACTGAAAAAACTATATCCTGTGACTATAAGTGCCGTAGCGGTTCCAAAGAAAACTCGTTGCATCGCGTTGTCCGCTGCGGGAACACTTTAAGTTGCTAAATTATACCTCACGTCGCAGATCGATATTTGCAGATGTGACGAAATTTGCCGTTACATATAAATACCTAGTTCATTGTACGCTGTGAATAAATTTCGGTAAGTACAGTTTCAAGATGCAGCAGGATGCATAACTCACTAGGCATTAATTAGATTCCTAAATTTACTTTTGATAATAAAGTAAAATAACGATATATTACAGGCGCATACTGCCGTCTTTTGAGTGTGTGTGTGTCTATCCGGCCGATTTCAAAAATTAAAAAAATAACCTTGGTAATAGAAATGTTTTCTATAAATTTTCTCTACTTACATCAGAATATGAGTTCGAACACACATTTTTGCCCTCATTTTATAGCAACCTAAGTTTTTATCTGCATTTTTGAAAAAAACAATATGTTTCAGTTTCAAATATGTCTTCAATTCCCTAATACGTTTGAACCCGACCAGTCTTTACATTTTCATTCAAATTTTTAATCCTAGCTCGACATTTGTATTTCATGAGGCTCATATATACCTCAGTGACATTAGATAGGCCCAAATGGGGCTCGAAACACTCCACGATGATTATGGACCACGAAGCATATAGCATGAGTAGCATTAATGAATGGGTAGACACGGTGCTAGTTGAACAGAAGCTTTTAGGTTTAAAAAATCTCATTGTTATGTGTTTTTGATAAATCAATAAATTTTTATTTTCCCTGAGAGAAACTCTAAAGATTAAATATTTTTCTACAAATGGCACACATAAAAACATTTTGTGCATACTTTGTAAAACGTTCGTTCGAATTTCTATTAGCATTTAAGTGCAAAGCAGAACCGTACATAAAAGATGTATCTTCTTCGGCGCGCGATTTTTTCAGGCGGTCAAAACGACGCCCAAAGCAAAGCGAATGGCAATGAATTAAATTCACTAGGTTAATGCTGTATGGCCATCAGGTTTGCGGCGCCGCCTAAGTGGTCATTTCTGACCAAAGCTGTCCCATGGAATTTCAGTTAATTTTTCAAGCGATACGTCGTCTACTTTATGATTTGAATGAGCTACACTAAGTCGATTCTATCTTTACCACAGTGCGCACAAACGCATCAAAATCCGCATTCCAAATTTTGTATGACGCTCGAGAGTTTTTGTCTGCGGCGCATTCCTCTAGTTGCACTGGAGATCTCAATGAAAGTTGACCGGCATGATCTGTAAACAGGCGTATGCCTAGAACTCACACTCACCTTCAATTCGTCGGCTTCAATGTATCCACTGTGATCCTTGTCAAAGAGTTTCCACACCTAAGGAGAGAAACACGGAATTCAGCTTCGGTCTCATTAAAATGGCATTCTTTTAGTACCTTGGAAACCTCAGATGATGCGGATACTTCTGAGATGCGTTGAAACTCGTGACTTTAGAGAGGACAGACACAACAACCATTTGTCTAGGGGTGTTCACATGAAGCATTTTCATTTCAAAGCGCTCTCTTCCGTGTAATGCCCGGACCTTCATTCCGCATGTGTTTTCCTTATCCTCGGTTGTTATACTTGCTTACGTAAAATAATTTTTCCGGCAGCATGGAGTCTGGGTGTTAGCCTAAAGACGACGGTATAGGAAAGACCTCACTCAACTCTCAGTAGACTGTGGATCATGTCATGTGGAGTTTTATCTTGGCATACATTTGCAGGCTGTTGCAGAAATTGCACTGTCAACATCAATTACTACCCATGACACCACAGACAGGACTTCCCGTATTTGATCGCGTAGTTTCCACTGAATGACAGAAAGGATATTTTCATTGACAGTTCGACCATCGATTTCGATGATGTCCACCGTGTGCCCCACAGCAGGTTCGAGCAGGGATGGTGACTTACGCAGGGGTTTATAGTGCCATTGGACTTGCGCTGCATCTACCTACACTCTCTCCACCTCCCGAGCCCGAGCCCGGTGTCAAATCAGAGTCAAGAAGACCGGAGACGAGAGAGGCCGCAGGTGGATGGCTCGGACGGATCCTCACCTTGGCGTTCCACTACACCCCCTGGTCCACACAAAAATAACCAGGATTTCAACCAACACAACAGAGATTTGGAGGCTGGCACGGCCGAAGCCGCACCCAGGCGTGCCGCCAACGCCTGGCTCGGATCCCACACTGTGGTGGGAGTGCCATAAAGGCCACATTAAAAAGGAGCCAATATTTTCATTAATGTAAAGAAGATGAAGACCCGATCTCTGGGACAGTGGGTTTATTAGTCTGAGCTTTCGGTCTCGTACAGGAGGCCATCGTCAGAGACTGTGAGAAGGCAACATCAAATGAGTGGTTTTTGTAGTCACGCCATGAAGGGGGGGAGATATAAGTGCAGAGGGTGGTATTCGCGATAAGTTGCGTCCCACGCCGTCTCACGGTGGCGTGACTGCGTGCACCCTTGGATGGAAATTGGCCCTCGCCCCTTGGCCGCGGGAACGGAGCGCGTGATAGCAGGGGGGTATATCAACGTGCCTGTTGATAGCGTTGGTGTCAGACACCCAGGCCTCTAACAGTTCTCGTCCTGTCTTATGTCCAGTAGCAGTCAGTACGGTACTCTCTATTTATTCCTGATCAACCATGCGATAAATGGGGGTCTTGAAGTAGATTCCTATGGCATACGTGTATAATACGTCTGATCCTACTGTACATAACGCAGCTGCCCGGCAAAAGTCGGACCCACGGCAGCAAATGCACGGCTTGTATACATCTAACGCTCTAACCACCTGAGCTATGAGACCTTTTAGCAGGAGCTTTAAGTTGTAACACATCTATGCAACGTATAAAATAGCAAACTGACTGAGCAAGCGCGTATCTTGACCCAGATCTGATCTATATTATGACACCTCCCGTCCGGAACCTAGTAAAGCAGGTGGTTAAGGCATTGGCTATATCGAAATCTTGCACTTGTTGTCGTGAATGCGAAGACCGCCTAAGCAGCTGCACTTTTCAGAATTTAATGAGAGAAATTTTTCAGTCGGTTCAGATAAACCAGCACTGCATACACTGCAGGGTTCAATTACTCGGGTGATATTTTTGCTGAAAAACTTATACGGGAAATTCGGAGGTCTGCTTCCCACAATGAAGTACAGGCAGCCGCTGGGGCTTGCGCATTACCCCATACAAGGTGAATGCGGTTTTGCAGTGAAGATATTTGCGCGTTAACAGAACTCCTGGGTTAGTCGAATTTTCCAGTAAACTTTGATGACATTTTCTGTAAAAGCGTATATCTGCAGATAAAATCGATCAGTAAAGTATCTAGGCGCACTGGTCTTTGGTTAAACTTCGTTATTTATCTGGAATTGGTGCGACCGCGGGCTGCAAACCAGACTTCGAACACCCCAGATTTCCGGCAGTCCAAGACTTTTGTGCAAATGTAAGTCTTGTGCCGTGCGACGGGTAGACGACTCTGAGTTGTGTAGTCTTTCTGGAAGGCAACCATGAATTCTGTCCTCCTTACTAATGCATAAAGAAGGCCCGTTCGTGTGCTGTTGGCGAGGTTGAACACACAGTTATTCGGCCTGACCTTGGAGATGGCTCGTGAGAGCGTCAAAATTGCGAATAAAAACGCAGATTCTTACAGGTCTGGAGCTGAGCACTGCAGTTTGTGGAACTAGGAGGTAAAATGGCTATCACTCGCGGTACTGAATACCTGCCGCATGCAGTCATCCAATTCGGTGATATTAAGTGTTATCAGACAACACATGCAAACGTTTCGAGGTCAAGTCGACCCCGTTTAAGCCTCATGCCTTTTCAAGGTTAGCTGTACATAAGATGAAATATCTCAAAATTATAGAAACAAAGTAAAAGCCTATAGCTGTGCCCTGCTGCCTTCTATATTCGAAACGCAACGACTATTATGACTGAAAAAATGTTCCAATATAGACCAAGATTAATCTGCAGTCTAGTTTTTATGTATTTTTGTCGGAAATGGCAGTTATGCAGGTCCTAGAAGACATTATTGCCATTCTGTTATCCTTTTGATATTCGCAGCTACGAGATTTGGTTTTTGTCATTATAAGGGTCTAACAATTTTATTTAATAAGGACTATGGAAGTAATTACCTCAGAATCGTTAACTTAGAGGTGTAGGTATGATTGCGTAAACCATATTTGGTATTGTTGTGATTCCAATGGTTTGAGCATCTAATTTATGAAACAGACTCTCCAACGTTCACGTAACCCTTAATGTTATCTAGATGTCCAAAAAACGATCTCATTTTTTCAGTTTTTGTCATTTAACTTTATTGGGCTGCGCAAGAGAGTCAAGGGAGTAAAACTGCCAGCTGTAAGACGTGACATTAGATAAAATAGCCCATATTTGGTGATTGAGACCTAGGACGTCCCAATGATAGGAAAGGACCGTGAAACAGCCGTCTGTGTCTGGCCCGTTGCGTTCTCAGCAAGCTGCCTATGATAAATGTTCATTTTTTATTTTTTGTTTCATACAGTCTCTTAAAATGTGCACTGCCGATATGCCGTGAGGCCATTTTATCAGTCGATGCATCATTAAATAAATTTTGAAAATACAGATTAATTGGAGGCGACTTCAGCAATAATTATTTATGCCCGAGTTTTTTTAGAGGAAGCTCAATTCTCAGGGTCGTTAATTATCATTAGTTTCCCTTACAAGGCTTGATGATGTAACTTTAGCAAAAATGTCAATGCTGGAGACAAAATAAATCTAAATTTTGCGGTTAAAATTACCATGTATGCACTTGAACTTACCCGCATAAAATCAATACTTGACTGCATGAATTTTTCGTGAGTAAACAGCACAATAAACTCCTCATCCGTTGGAAGCAATCTGGCCAGCTATTGGTATAAAAATATTAATAAAGGATAAAAAATTTAGGAAAGTAAGAATGTGAGTCAGAAATAAAAACCTAAAGGTCAGACTGCAAAATTGTTAAACTGACAATTGTTTTCTTGAACAGGTGTACTTTGCAAAACCATGTGGACCGCGGGTATTCCAAATTTAAACCCATATGCCTATTCTGTTAAACACCATTTTGCTTCGCTCATTTTCGGCCCCTTTCCACTGGCAGTCAACAAAAGAGAGATATTTTGAGTCAAATAGCGTGATTCAAGTCCCCGAGTGTGAAAAACTGCAGAGTAAAAACGTTTTTATAACCGTCTATGTATGCTCTCTCACCTCCTTTTGCCACATTTTCAAAAGTAGATTACCATCCCACCAGAGGCAGTAGTGTACGGTGGAGATAAATTTGAACACCAAATTTTTATCGAAAAAGCCAAAACAGTAACTTCAAATTTTTGTCTATCTCCCTGGTTTGTCTTTTAAAACCCTGGACCAGTCATGGTTCACGGGTTCTGATGGAGGACGAAAGGTGAGGTAAATTTAAAAGGCCGAAAACTAAGTTTCGCACCGGAGAGTTCAGTAACGATTGTTCGAGGTGTTCGACAAGGCTTCGATCCATTATGTTTAGTCAATTCCGTTTCTAAAGTGTACTGTTTTTTGTAGACAGGACTGACGTTCGGATATAAATTTAGTACGTGACGATATACCACAAGCATATGTCGCCGGGGCCGTTAGGAACGTTCAGGGGACACAGCTCTTAGCTGAAACTCCGTATTGGCAACAGGCAGAAGCCCACATTTTGCAAAGCATGTGCATGGGTTTTTGATAAGTAGCCGTGCTTATAGAACAGTAAGTTAATCAGCATGCCATCGACGCTATCCTCTTGTATCTACTTCTGCGAACTATCACATTCGTCTTAAGGCGCTCCTACCCTCTGTTATTCTGATATGGTAAATATTTTACGAAGTGACACATGTAGAGCCGCCAAGAGGTCAGATAATTAATCATCATGCCCCCTATTAGAAGTTTACAGTCGACAAATTTAAACAAACATCTACTGATATGACTTCTTGAAATCCAGAGAGTCTAATTAAAAATGAATGTAGAACATGCTGTTATAGTTCAGCAGTCTCTGAGAAAAAGCTAAGAAAGATGCATCAGGCAGGTGTTGAGAATAAGATACGTGGAATGAACAATTTTACGGCAGCCGTTTTTGGCGTATATAGCTAGAACAAATGAACAAACCTTCCCCGCGTAGCCAGAGAGATATAACGCATGAACTTACTTCGGATATTTCAATTCGTTTGTCCTTGTTTTTGTCAATGTGCGCCCAGAGCTCATCCTTTAGTGCCTGGACTTCCGCGTCTGTGAGATTCTAAAAAATGTCAAAATATTTACCAACCGTATTGACTTTTATAGCAAAATTGTTATTTTTTTGTTGCAACCATGTGCAACAGATGACAAATCCCCTGAGACCTGCCGAATTCACAAAAAAATTCCCGCGTAGCAAATAACACTGCCAAAACGCGTCGATCATGGCGCTTAGCTGAAAGTGGGTGACTGACAATTGAGGAAAACGGAACAAAAAATTAAAATAAGCATTCATATACTTGAAGGAATTGAAAGGCAGACATCCCAACAAATACAATACAAAAAACACCTTCTTTACGAAAGATATAAAACTGTATCAGGTACATTTTCGGTGCTATTTTTCCTTGTCGTCCTTAGACTTAAACATATGCGCAAAAATTGGGAACATTTCAAACATATGTGGCGGACAATTGAGGGAAACAGGTAGACTATTGGACTAAGCATCCGTACATCCAAAAGGATAATTTTTTGAAAAAATGAAGATAACTAAAAATGAAAAGTTTGTAAAAAGTGGGAGCAATATATTTTCTTAAAGCGAACTAAATAAACGAAACGGCCTAAATGCAGCAACTCACGAATGCAACCATTGTCAGCCTTTTCTTTGCCCGTCTTACAAGAATGGGTGTACAATGCGGTCAGTCAAGTGCTTAACAATTTTAAATGTGTGCACAAAGTTTTTTCATTTTCGCATTGGTCATGGTGCGCCAATCAAAAAGAATTTTACTTAAACTCATGTGTGGAGAGGTCGTAAACATAAAATATTCAAAAGGTCATATATTTAGAGACAGGACAAAGGCAAAAAGTTCAGTACAATGGGGAAATAGGAGAACGAGGAAAATTCTATTTTAGGAAGATTTTTATTTGCTTTCTGACCAGGATTCAACCCTTGAAATGTCTAACAACATAATATGCTTTTAACATTCTGAAATGAGTGCCCGAAACGGTGGTCTTATTAATGATAGCCATCAGGAGCCATAGAAACGGTGAAAAGTTAAAAAAACATGAGTAGATCTGCAAGCTAAGTTTTGATCCTCATATATTCCGTCCTACTTTGACAAGTGGCCTCGTTTTAATACGTACTGTTGGGATATTTTTAGACGAATAACTTTTGTGGTGAATCTTTCTTAAGGCTGCGACTAGGGAGAAATTGAAGCATGCACTCCTGAGACTGGTAGTAACAATTCGTCTGCCACAAACGAAAAAAAACTACGTTTTTTGCGGCCGCTTCCGTTGTTCTTAATTAATGTTAGTCCCCATCATAGGATATTAAGTGCTCAGTTTATTTGCCATAAGCGAATTAGAAACGTTTTCAAATGAATCACGGAGTACGCCATTTGTCTGTTTATTATAAACCACCCAACAAAGATCATAACCTATGCGCTGGATTTTACTTTGTCATGGCGAACCCGGCAACTGTGAGAAAAACGTGTCTATTTCCGTTTTTTTATTGTCCTCTGATATACAAATTTTTGTATGTTTCTAAATTAATTATGCTTGGTTAAAATCATGTGGTTGTATGTGTTTTAACTCGCCCGACATGTGGAAATACAAATTACAAGTCTAAGTCTAGCCAAGATCGTTTTGGTGAACCCTTTTCTTTTTATAACTACATTCCTCACCAAAGTAGGGTCCTCAAATACGCAGTCAGTGTCTCAGATAATTGTTGGCATTACTAGACGTCTGGTTAGAAGAAGTGGTGGACTAGAGCGCTGAATGCCCATTTTTTTCAGATAGTTTAAGGAACTATTCGAGTTGCTTAAAAGTTTTTTTGCATAACACAGTGAGGTTAATGTTTTAAAGCACAATTTTTCAGTACTCCTAAACGTCTGTTGGCTAGCGGCCATTATATTTAACTCGCTTTTATGAGTAAAACAGTCACTAATTAAGTAATCCACCATTTGGCAGGGAAAGCCACGTAGTGGGAAGTTTAGTCATAATAAGTTGAAATAAAAATTGCTGTGCTAGTTGCTAACTACGCACGTCAACTATATGAAGAATATACTTAGGGGGAACACACTGAATTAATTCGCACAATTGGGAAGTGTACTTTAGTGGAAATGAATCCCTCCTCCACAACACAGGAGAGCCTGCAGTTTGTTTAACTAAGATTCCTAACTGCGACCCCGAAAATCTGAAAGCGAGGTTATTACGACGTTACCTACACAAACTTGCGCAATTAAAATAAAGAAACGCATCTGAAAGTGAACTGCATGCAGACACTTCTGCTGCTAATTTGAACTGTGGGCACATTTATAGGTCGTTGGTGATTCTGCCCCTTTATGATACCGTGCAGATCGAATGAAAAAGCGTACCCAGTAAGGATCAAGAGGAGCAATTTCCATTTAAGCGGCCCATGCTATCAAGGAATAATTGTATATGCTAGCCATCCTCAACTAAATATCCTTCGTGGGTTGCTGTAACGCTCGGATTTCTTGGGGACTATGTTCTCGCGATCACCACGATAGATGCTATTATTTTTAAGTCAGCAACTTTACTTGCAATTTTAGAGCTTCCGCAAAGTATTCATATTAATAATGAATTGTACAAATTAATCTAACCTTATCTGTGAATCCCGCGCAGGTAACAGAATAGCTGCAACCTACGTGCAGTACTATGGGATACCGCTTCATGTGCTTTTATGCTTTATCGTTACTGGATGCTAACTTGCAAGTTTTAATCCGTCAATAGGCGTGAAATCTGGAGGCAGATTGTACGTTTCCCAGACATATGACTGCCGCAGATGTCTACCGAGAAGTGAATGGACGCTAGGATTGACGTTTCTGGTTCATCATCCAGCAGCGCCTGAAACCCAGCTGCAAAGATACTCAAGGCCCGACCACGTAGGTCTCCGCGTCGCATTAGGTGTGAGATAAATGTTGACTGGGATGAAAAACGCTCAGGTCTGAATGACCTATGTGTTAATTACGTGTAAGCATTGAACCAACATCTAAGTTCTTTAGTGTTTGCTCACGACCGCCAAGCGTGCATAAATTATTCCGACCACATTTCCTTCCAAATTTGCAAGTAAGGAATGAGAGCCATTTTCATAAGTCTCCATTTATTTGAGAACAAGTGGCGTTGCTAACCAGCTGGCTCACTAACTCGTATTAAGAGCAAATATATATGTCATTAGGAAACAGTTCACTTGAGAACATTAAACTGTGTCATCTGAACTAGTAAACACCCCTTAATTTATCTTTTTAAACAGTCATAATGCGTCTGCAAGGTTATGATTTCCACTGAAAAATAGTAGGTTTTTGCATGAATTCTTCGAAGAAAATTTGACGTTGGTGAATTAATGCGCGTTATTCGATATTAATTTAGCGGAACTGTACTATACCCAAGTGAAGAAACTTTTGCATACTAGTTGATTCATGCACCCTGCCAATGTATTCGTTCATTTTTGTGATAGGCGTCACACAGTACTCAAGCAGTCTCTGAACAGCTTCACAATTTTAATTTACAAATCGCAAGGCTTTGGCGCCCTGTATAATAGGTGTTATGAGCCCGCGAGGGTTCTACAAGTCGGCACTATCTACGACAGTTCGACCGTCGATTTCGACGATGTCCACCGTATGCCCCACAGACTGCATTGTGGGAGCAGGGACGGTGACTTACGCAGGGGTATATAGTGCCAGTAGACTTGCGTACCATCTACCTACACTCTCTCCTCCTCCCCCGCCTGAGCCCGGTGTCAAGACAGAGTCAAGAAGACCGGAGACGGGGGTGGACGCAGGTGGATGGCTCGGACGGATCCTCGCCTTGGCGCTCCACTCCGCACCCCCTGATGCACACACAAATGACCAGGATTTTGACCACAAAACAATGGGGTGATGACAGTGGTCCAGTTGTGCGACGAATGCCGACAACAGGGTCCGCCAGCGCACCCCGGAAGTGTTGGCATTTGTTATTGCGCACAGATAACGCCTGCCAGAGTACGATGTGGCCCCCCGTGTTGGTCCAGCGCATCTGACACGTGGCCCGTTTGGAGGACACGGCACTATCTAACGACAATGAAACGCGCCTTCTGCACGTAAAGATAGGACAAATAATCTCCATAATAATTTCAGATTCCCGGCTATACTTACTTGCGAAAATGTCTCCGTAGATAATAAAGTGAATGGAATATGCTGTATTCTGCTTTATTAATTGTCATAATTTAACTGTACCCCAATATAATTAATTAAGGACCTATTCGCACAATTATCTAGCAGTGTTGCTCCGGAATAATTTGACGCAAACACATACAGAGAATGACTGCTCCAAAGACCCATTGTTCTGCGGATAAATTAGCATGCAAGTGTCCCAAGAGAACTAAGCCTTCGCAAACTTTACAATTTTAATATTATTTGAAAACGGTACTTTATGAACAGTCTGCAAGAATGCAAACGTCCACATAGGTCAAAAATATTTTTAAGCGTTTGCTATCTGACCTATATAATGAAATATCAAGGCTATTCCTCAAATCAGGATGTTGGCTAGAGAATGGGCCTTCCGACCGCCTGCACAAATCACACTCAGTAAGAATGAGCTAGTAAACATAGATTATTCTTCAGCTGATTATCAAGGGATATGCTAATTGAAATATATTTTATCAAAAGCATGCTCAAAATGCTTATTCTTTTACTCATTTAACAGAAAATTTAATCTTCCTCAAATTTTATACCTGAAGAAAAATCCATAGGTTTGTGAAATTTTTCAATTGCGGGATTATTTAAGACCGTGAAATATTCATGCGCATACTCCTGCATCTGTGTGCATATTAATGCCACCTTTGAAACGTAAATCATGGTTTACATATATTGCAAAATTATATAAACTGTAGGTGACATCCTTTTAACGGCATAGAGAAAGACATGGTTTTCACCATATAAAATTGATACAACATGCAGTCTGGAAATCCTAAGCCTAATTTCAACTTCTGACGGGGTTCAGGCTTATTGAAAAATTTAAAGGTTTCCTAAAATTGAAAGATATCACTTCTAGGATGTAGAAATGTAAAGGGGACTTTTTTGTTTAGAGACAGTACATGAGTGAATATGTCAAGCGCAAGTTAACTCCGCGTGTTCAGTCTTCATGATTTGAGCTGTTGTCAAGATCTATAAAAAGTCACTTATAGGCACTGTTATACGTGCTGTCATGGTTTATTTTGTATGCCCATCTCCTGAATAGGTGGGAATAAGTAAATATCATGTTAAAAAACTCTAAAACCTAAAATTCCATGAGGTATCAAATGTCAGGCTGTGTAATTGCTCAAATCAAAATTGTAGTTCCCGCAATATCCTGCTGAGAGGATTCTTTTAGAACTTCGAGAAAAACCGTTAAATGAATTCTCTTTCCGGCAAAATGAGCGGTAATTCAAAATAATAAAAGAAACGACAAAGTTTATGGGAATAACACATTTTCGCATGCACTTCTTCATGAGGACAGATAAGAATTTCTGCGGGCCGCCGAATGCCCCATATTACATAACCCAAAAAATGCATCATACAAGTCAGTAAAAAAGCCCACATACACAGAAGTTTTTATTTCAAAACATTTTGTATCTGCCTAAATAACAATCAAAAACCATACGCAACATGTCATTCGCGAACAAAGCATAATTTTCACAGCTGGGATGTGTGCTTAGTCGAATGTAACAAAAGCGCCGACTCCCACATCCCGCGCCGTATGCCTCATCTTTGAGTTTTGAGGCCAGTCTATTTACACACATGCAAACTAGCATTATTCCTCTAGTCAAAGATGAAGAAGGTCTGGACTGCCCAGGTTGTCTAATTTCCACAAACCCATCTTAAATTGGCGGCACGTGCTTTAATTCTACAGTTTAATTAAGATTAGAGAGCATTTTCTTTACGTTCAAACTGAATTTATCTGTTGGAATTTACTGATGCACAGGCTAACAGTAGCGTCTTCTGCCTAAATCTGCATTTCGGAATATGAGCAGTTGCCAAATATTAATGTTCAATTCTATTTTATACTTGTAACTGGGTTCATTAATTCCCGATGCATCTTCATCATATTTCAAGCAAATATTTTCAGAGGCTTTAGGCCTCCTGCCAACTGACGACTGATTATTGTAACAAATATTACGTCAACAAAACCGGATCTATTAAAGGTGGCCCTAGAATCACCGATCAGACGGACCAAAATCAAGGCCTCGACAGACGTCAAGTCGCACTGATGACAAGCCAGTATGTCCAAATGCACTCTTAAGAGGAGGAGGACACGAGAATAGGAACCTCCTGCATCACAAATGATCGTGGACACGATTTCAGGTGAGATTAGGGTCAGAGTTAGGTTTCCGGTCAAGTTTAAGCTCAGTGGTGAGCTTTGGGTTGGCGTTAGGGTCCGCACACGAGAATAGATTCTCTTCATGAAATTCAACGCAAGACCACTTGCATTACATCAAAAGATATTCACACATAACAGGTTAAACCCGCGTATGTCGGCCCTGCAATCGCCAGTCCGAAAGACTAGCACCAGTCCACAATGGTGACAGACCATCACACCAAACTACACTGACGACCTTAATAGCATAGCGAACTCTGACCTTTGATAGGCGTGCTTTGTTTGCCTTGATTTTTAAATCATAGAAAATATTAGTTAAACAGGCTAAAGTATTTAAATTGTCAGAGACCCTGCGTATAAAATTCATGTGCAACAATGGATCCTGGAAAATTGTGCACTCAGCCAATCGCATATGACAACTAATTGCGCGCAGTCTTTCTTAATCTAAAAATAGCGGCAAAGTTAATGGTCTCTGGGAAAATCATTTTCAGTCCGTTTGGGCGTATCCGAATTTCAACGCGATGCAATTTTCCGCATTCTTGGAGACCACGGGCAATTGATCACACCAGTAAGTTGTCCGAGGTGTTGTACACAGTCGTTAATCCTGCGCTCATTCATCCGCGTTGCCTACCAAAAACATCGTTTCCTCTATCACAGAAACTGGCGTTCTAATCAGTCTTCATTTGTATTGAAACGGTATAAACAAATCTGGCATCATTTAAGCGCATGGTAGAAGTTTTCCTGACAAAGGTTACAAGCGGCAAATTGTGCTCAGAACTTCATTTAGCAATTAGAAAGGCGACATTTAGACTTCTTTAGACTTCTTTGGTTATATCAATATTCACCCAGCTCCGTTTTTTGATTGCTTCAGAAAGTGGTGAATTTACAGTTAACATTTTCTCAATGGATGGTTGACTTCAACACCAAAGCATTCTGCGTGATCAGTATCCGGGAAAATTGTAGTCGTACCGACGGTCGTATAAGATGAGTGTACGCTGCAAAAGCGAGCTGACAGGCCAGGCGGAAATAGGTGAATTCAAAAAATCGCATTTGTGAATACACATCACGCGAGGAACGCGTGCATACGTTGATCAAGGTACGATAATTAATCTACAGTGTACAATACTTCTGTTGCTTCGTCTCAACCGACTGAACAGTTGCCTAGGCACGAATTATCCGCGAGCTAATTCGGCCGTCTTACTTAGACCAACTTCCGCGCAAATGTATGCAAAACATAAATAGTATACTTTTTTTGAATGATAAATATTTCATCTTAACTATAAAATATTTCAGCTCTATCAAATAAAATCTCAACAACCAAATTTAAAGTAAAAAATGATACCAAAATAACATTTGTAATGGATGGTTGATGGCTGACGACGGCTAATGAGCTTGAAATGGTCATTCCAGTCTTCCTGGTCCTTGTCAGCAATTCTATTCTGCCGGCACTACGCGCCGCTGTTCAGATGCTGGTTAGGCTTGAGAGACAGCCCAAAGGCACAACGGGACGAGTGATTTCCGTAAAAACGATTGGTCAGCGCCCCACTACCATGGATGGTCTTAGCAGTACTGTTTTCCTCGGTGCCCATTAATCCCATGGGTCCGGTAGGGCTTTGTAACTCAGATGACTAGAGCCTTGGCTAGAGTCAAGTCTTTTCCTTGCTGTTGTTGGCTCAAATTCCACGGCGGCCAATGAGTTCTTGACGGATGCGTTGAAATAAAGTAGCTTATATTTTTCGGCTTTATTACGCCATGTTTTATGAGCACGCAGTCGTAATAATCTTAGCGGACTTATTTGGTAAGATGGTCAAAGTTATAAACCGAGAACTGTATTTATGTGTTTTATTACAAAATATGAAACATTGCTCACGTGTTTCAACTCCGGCGTGACGATTGTTTCAAGTAGGTCAGAGAAAAACGCATCCAACTCCACTCCCTCGATGTATCCATTGCCTTAACGACAATAAATGCATGCAAGTCAGAAATGTCGTCACAGGGATTTAAAAAGGAAATAAAAAATGTTAATTCCGGCACAGGCCAGTATTTGGAACAGGCGTATCCGCCTCCTTCTCACTGAACTTGAAAAGAGGCTCCGCGTAAAACCTGATCTACAAGATTCCCAGGCAGAAGCTGCCGAAAGTTTGTTCGCCAACGTCGCATAGCTTCTATTTTAGGAAACGCTGCCAAGAGCAGCAGAGGAAATTAAGTGCCATTTTTCGTTGATTGTACAAGAGTCCCGTAGTTGGAGACACGGGCAGCTCCCGTACGGATATATCTTGTCAGCTCGTTTCTGCTTTTCTAACTCTCATCAGCTAACCATATACCACCCTAGGTTTTGTACCCCTTGGGCAGAAGCCCGCAGAATGAACGAGCATGTGACTGAGTGTCCAGGACCTTGAACTTCTAACCGAAATAACAGGGGTCCTAGCCTCAGGGACTGCAAGACCTGACTCTGGGTATGGCTGGTTGATGATGGCTATAAGACCAAAAGTGGCCACTTCACTCAACCTTAATTTTTCGATTAAGGAGACACGATCGCCCGACCTTTCGGATTCTTGCTCGAACCCATCATCAGAGACAAAAGCAGATATACGTGGTTCATGCACAAGGGGCTGCTGTATTTATAGGATGCAGTCGTCATGCTGCCGTATATCTATGAATATTCACGGCTGCCCCTTTCATCAAGGATCGTTGCACTTGGAGGGCTGACTGTTTGACGGCCGACATTCGCGTCGTTAATTTCTTCAGTTTCATCACGTGCATTGGATGTTGGTATGATAATTGTTCAAACATCTGACCCACCGACCTTGGCGTTGGGAAAAGTGTTCACCTACAGGCTCTCCGCGTTGCTAATTACTTCGGTAACAATCGGGAGATGGCACCCAAAAAAATCCGCCTAACCAAAACAGCCTGTCTTACAGGCGAGGTAGTAATAGGGGTTTTATGGGTGGTGGCTGATCGGGATGTGCGATACTAGCCCACGGAATGCCTTATTTGAACTCGTGAATGATCGAAGTTGGCCCGCTATCCGTTCCGTTATTACAAAATGGGTCGCCAAAGGCAGTATATTGGTAACGGACGAGTGGAAGGCGTAAAATCGTCTTCCCTCAGAAGGTTATCTACATTTCTCTGTTAACCACTCAAAGAACTTCAAGGACCCTATCAACGGACGGCACACCAATCCCATTGAGGCATACTGAAGTAGACTGAAAAGGAAACTCCACAAGGGAGGCCCTGAATGTGGTCCAGCTGTGTGGGCTCACATAGACGAAGTACAGTATCGTCTTTGGCTTGGCCTCAATGCCATGTCTTTGACAGATGCTTGGGATCTGTTCCTGTCCCATGTTGTGCAAACGTATCCTGCTTAAAAGTGCTTTTGTTTTGTAATAAACTGCCTTTATGCGAATGTATGCCGTACATTCAGGTGTACGTGTGCAACGATGGGGAAGGTTGGGTAACAGCGACCATCGTCCATGTAACCTCCTACTATGTTCGTTCGGTCAGCCCATGTTAGGCCGTCGCGGAAAGTCCAAGTAGTGCGTGAAAGTAGGCTTGCAACCGCTGATATATCCTGAAGGCGTTTGAGTCCACTGTTAAAGGCAGTATTTCTAGGTAACGGATTTTTTTGGGTGCCTTCTCCCGATTGTTACCATTACTTCGCCTAGGCGAAATCTCAACAACGACTATGGAATGTGAAGGTCATTGCACATTTTAATGGACTGGGGGCCAGTAAACCATGACTAAAACAGCTCCCGGCTCACGCAGTTGTCATCTCCAGCGAGAATTTAGGCCTAGTCGCCTTTGAATAAGTGGCCGGATCTCGTCGAATGAGCCACAGCTTGAGATCTGGCGTCATTTCTCCGCACCGCTGCAGCGTGTTCGACCATTCGCATTCAAGTTCTACGATCCCTGATGAAGGGGGCAGCCGTGAATATTCATAGATATACGGCAGCATGACGACTGCACCCTATAAATACTGCAGCCCCTACTGCATTAACCACCCGTATCTGTTTTTGCCTCTGATGGTGGGTTCGAGCAGAAATTCGAAAGGTCGGGCTAAAAAAGCTCTTGTCACAGCGATTGTGTCTCCTTCTTCAAGTCTGCTTCCTGGGACTCGTATCTTCGCTTCTGTTGGCAACTCTTAATTTTGTCGGCAATGTCATTCTGCTCGTACAAGTAGCCACTGCGCAGTTACTTACTGGTCACTAAATCGATCTGTAAGAAACAGAAGGATGAGTCTGTCCCGTGAAATCACCCTACTATATGATATAGTGTGCTCGGTCTAGACCTAAGCGATTTGCTAAAGCAGAATCTGGCAGGTGAATGGTTTACTGTCCTCTTCATCTGGATCTTCCGTTTCCCTAAGGTAGGCGTTTTAGATGTACCATTTTTTCAGTTCACCTATTCTGGACACATATTCGCTTGCTTCTGCATAGGCCAGCACAACCTCCCAGGACAACAGACTTCTTTCTTCATTGATAGAACATATTTAGGCATTCTTGGAAGACGTGATAATAATTTTGAGGCGAATAGCTCTCATGCTATCTGCAGACGCAGACTGCTGTTTGGAAGACGAAGATGCGATCACTGGAACAAGAGTTTTATTAGTCTGACGTTTCGGACTGTCACTCGAACCCATCACCGGATGGGAATCAGTCACTTGGGGAGTGCGCGGACGAGCAATAATCCCATTGACAGTGAGCCAATTTTTGGAGCCGTCGTCACAGCAGCATCCAACACGGATGACGAAATCTCGGCCGTTAATGACTTGCACTCGGACTAACAAGCCACCATCGCATCCCTTACGATTCCAGCGGTAATTGCGAGAGCTGTTAATTACAGCACGCATATGGTCCGACGGCAGTCACGTGCTGTAAATACTGCACCCCTTGTGCCACCAGTACTCTTATCTGCGACTGTATCTGATGATGGGTTCGAGTGAGAATCCGAAACTTCAGGCCAATAAATTTCTTGTTCCAGTGATCACATCTTCGTCTTCTGAACCCCTTCCGGGAACTCGCTTGTTCGCTTCTATCAGCAGACTATTGTCTTCTCAGTTCAGCTAGCAGTCTCTTAGATGACATTATAATGGTACTGTTTTTATCAATGGCTAACCTCAGCGATTATTAGCGAGTAACTGGGGGAGAGGGACGTATGCCGCATCGCTTTCTTCAAAGTCCAGTTAAGATACTTGGGATATTCCCACTCATATAGCCTAGCAGTCAGGTTTGGTTTTATAGGCATACAATGTAAGTACGGTTTAATAAATAATTGCGACGTCTTTGGCGAGAGTAGCTTATGCGCTTCGAATTTCTTCAGGCTTCTTTCAACTAATACTATTCCAGGGGAACCTGAACAAGAAGTAGATAGTTCACAGGGTATCGTATTCACTGCACACTGTTTCTGTGAGTTCAGAGCATTAAAATTGCTAAACTATCTGTGCTAGTGTCATTGCCAACATGTTAGTCTGGTACTGTTCATTGCAACCGACCCGGCGTAGATATAACAACTTGTTTTTATAAAGACGTTAGGCAAAAGATTCCTTCTTGCCCAGCACTGGGACAGTTTGTCTATTGTTCTGAGCTTTCAAACATGCTCAGGAGTTCACCGTCAGAGATAGCAGCAACGACAGATCGAACGACAGCTATAAGGCTTGCTAGCCAATCTTCGACAGCTGCACAAGACTGGAGACGACTGCGCAGATTTCCGTACGACCCGTCAGATCGATAACTCGGTTGACCGAGTTCTCATCCGAGGTCCAGGCTTCAATTAACTCTGGGTTCGTTTTGGTTCCAGCGTGCAAAATTATCTTGTTGGCTGCGTTGTTAAACTCATGATCCAAATTCGTAAGTGCGAGCAACCACTTGTGATAATTTGTCGCCTCTTCGCTTAAGCCAGGTTACAGATGGTGGACTTACTCATGAAATGTCAACCGAAATTCCGAAATGCGTTTTCGTTTCAAACAGATTAATTAAGTAGGGTTGTAAACTTAATTAGCCTGATACATTATTCTATAATAATTCGGTTAACTCAGGATGCCGGCTTTTGAATGAAATTCCTTCCCGTGGCATGAAAAAACTACAATCTGAAAAAATGACTACTTATGCGCATAAATATTCTCACTGATTTTCGATACCCCTAAAAGTCCCATCATATTTCATGAAAACCATGCATAAAAATATTCATTCTTTCGCTCATTCGATGGATGGTTACGTTTTCTTCCAATCTTATACTCGAAGGAAGGGAAAAATTCGATTTTCAAAAACTTTTTCAATTCTCGGATAATTTGGAACCCGCTCTACCGTTACACTTGGATGCGGGGTTTCCAAACCACAAGCCGTTCATTTTCCGAGTATGGAAATCCACGCATTTCTCTACGGTAGTAAAAAGGAACCATATAGGGTTCATAAAATTAAGCAGTGGAGTTGATCCATATTGGTAACTTTACAAGCAACATTGGTAAATTCGGAGATATGACGATATATGAACGGCCATTTCACGGTATTTAAAAGTCCCACAATTGAAAACTTCTTCAAAAGCGAATTATGTCCCTCCTTTGAGTATAAAATTAGAAAAAGGCATAATTATCTGCCAAATGAACGAAAGAGTGAATATTTTCATGCATGTTTTCCATGAAATATAGTTGGACTTTTAGGGGCATCGTAAATCAATGAGAAAAATTCATGGGAGGTAGTCATTTTTACAGAATCTAGTTCTTGTGCGCAGCTTGAAGGAAGTTCATTCGAAAGTCGGCATCCTGAAATAACTGAAATATTATGGAATAATGTTGCAGACTGAATACTTTTACAATCCTACTTAATTAATCTTTTCGAAACGAAAACGCATTTTAGAATTTCGGTTGACATTTCATGAGTCAGCCCACCTACTGTATGTTCGTGTATGCGCGACCCCAGCATACGTCCAGTCTGACTTCTGTAATTACAAGGATAGTTTTGACCTGGGCTGCGAGATACTACTCCGGATTGCTTCTCAGTGTTTACCTGGCTCTTTTCATATTACCTTGCTGAGCATGGTGGCTTTGGGCCGGTATGCACTTCCAACACCTAGTCGCCCAGCAATGCGTTCGGTCGTTTTTGTCGTTTCCACCATCACTCGAGATGGCCTCCTGCACGGGTTCGAAACCTCGGAACAATAATCAGATGGTTCCAGTGCTCGACTAGTCTTCTTATTTTTGCACATACGCACATGGAACTCAAACTTTTGCTTCCATTAGCATATGGTTCTTGTCTAACAGGCTCAGTAAGGGCTTTAAAGACTCCAGCAAACCACTCATTCACCTATCGCACGACAGTTCGGCGTTTGCGGACTAAAAACAACAAAATAAATTAACCGTGAACATGATCACAGTCAGTGATTCCAGCAATCGTCGTCTCACCAACCGCACGGACAGTGCGCATGCTTTTATTGCTTTATGGCATGAGTGGCAGGAGTTTTTAAATTTTTTATAATTTGCGGTTGAAGTCAACAACTTCGGCTTGCGCAGATACCTCACAGAGGTTAAACATCTAATTGACCTTGATTTCTTGAGGCTTTGTAATAGGCATTCAATTTTCCAAAAAACCTAGGCAAGAAGGTGTCGTTGAGATGTGTACGCACGCCAATCAATTAGTTGTGGAACCGATGATTACATATTAAAGAGATCTTTATATTTTGCCATTTTTTTAAATCACAAAATGCAGCTTTTTATTTGTTGCGGAAATGTAGGTCACTATGTGGACATTACGATCCCACGGAAAGACTCCGTCAAGAGAGGACTTCCAAAGGGATCTTTGAAAGACAGATTTTACGCCGAAACTAATTCTGTGAAGTTTACCGTAATAAATGTGCTTCAACCTGCTACGCCACCCCAGTGGACAACCGAGCTCACAAAATGGCTGACTGCTGGCATTTGCTTTAAAGAATATCACACTGGCTCCTCGAGTCATCAAAGTGCATCTATCCAACATGTTTCGGCAATACACTGAAACTTGTTCTTTGTCTTCAAATACCCAGGCGGTGTCAGATCTACGCATAAAGTCATTTGCTTCTAGACTCTACAACGCCAATCTCCACGTAGGCGAGATGTTTCACCTCAGTGTCACAGGGCTTAGTCCCCTTACTCGAACCGATGTTGTGTCTCGCTGTCTTGCCAAATCCCCTATTTAGCTCAAGCATTTTCGATAGAAATAATATGCGCTACAAGTGGTAGTCAACAGCCTATGTCTTGGCAGAGGGTGTTAACCAATGTGCCATCGTCTTGACAATTTACTTCAGACTTAGAACGACAGGTCATTGATTTTGACGAGAGGTGGGTGCATATTGGCCCATTTTAATAACTGGATTTATTTATGGCCAGATATGCGTTCCGCCAGTGAAAAACCTTTGAGTTTTGGATGTACAGTAGGTGGGCTAACTCATGAAATGTCAATCGAGATTCCAAAATGCGCTTTCGCTTCAAATAGATCAATTAATTAGGGTTGTAAAACTAATCAGCGTGCAGCACAATTCCATAAAAATTCAGTTCCCTCAGGATGCCGGCTTTCGTGCGAACCTCTTTCCGGCTGCATCTAAAAGTATACTCCATGACTGCATATGAAGCATGCATTTTTCTCAGTGATTTTCAACGTCCTTAAAGATTCAATTATATTTCGTGGAAAGCATGCATAAAAATATTAATTATCTTGCTTATTTGGTAAAAACATATGCTTCAAATTTTATGCTTGTAGGAAGGATATGATTTGGTTTTAAAAAACGGTTCAGATTATGGGATTTTCTAAATCCGTAAAATGGCCGTTCATAAAACTTCATGTCTCTGCATTTACCATTGTGGCTTGTGTGGTTAGTAATATGGCTCAAATCCACTGTTCAATTTTATGAACCCCATATGATCTCCCCTCAATACTGTAGTGAAATGTATGGTTTTCGGTAAGCGGAAAATATACGGCTTGTAGTTTGGAAGCCCTAAATGCATGTATAACGGCAGGCAGGTTTCAGAATTATTTGAGATTTGGAAACGTTTTTAAAAACCGAATTATAACCTTCCTTCGAATATAAAATTTGAAAAAGATGTTATTTTCTACCAAAAGAACAAAGCAGTGAATATTTTTCTGCAGGTTGTCCATGCAATATAAATGAATTTTTAAGAGCATCGAAATGCAATGAGAAAAATGCATGCTATATAAATAGCAATTTTTTGCAGAGTGTGATTTTGCATACAGCCGAAAAGACGGTCGTTCAGAAGCCGGCATCCTAAGGCAACTGAATTATTATAGAAATATGTCGCCAGACGATTAGTTTTACAACCCTACTTAATTAATCTCTTCGAAGCAAAAACGAATTTCAAAATTTCGACTGAAATTTCATGAATTAGCCCACCTACTGTGTGTACTGGTGAAGACGTCTGGTCGATCACCGAGACAGTTTATTGATTGTCCCGAGCTTCCAGACTTGCGCAGGAATTCGTCGTCAGAGATTGTTGGAGCAAGTAAACGAGGTACAATTACAGGGCGTGCTAGTCAATCATCGGTCGATGACATTAGACTGGAGGTGACCGGGCAGGAATAAGAGGCGTATGATATGTGCGACTTAGTCCGAGCAGCATTTGTGTTGGGCAAAAGTGCTGAAAATCCACGAGGTTTATGACATCGCGGAGTTTGATCCTCAATATTGTAAACAAATAAAAGTGGAAACTATTTTTACCATTTAATGGAAGTTGCAAGTAAATACATTCCCCCTTTGCAAGCATTGTCAAAAAGGTACTAGATGGTCGTTTTTTTTACTCCGATGACTACCTTGAGGCACCTCGACCACCCATACGCAACAACCACCGCGAGGTCTTTTTATTTCTTTTTCTGGTACGTAGAAATAAAAATCACCATTTATTATCTTTTAGCACAATTGTCCCCTGCAATAAGTAAGCCTTGCCTTAAGCCCTACCCTTCCTTCAGGGCTCTGTACACCATGTCGCCTCTGCTACCGTTCGGTCAGTTTCGGCAAGTTGCAGCAAGCAAAAAGAAAAATTAAACACCTGCCACCCGACTGTCCTTTTCTTCAAATGCGTTTGCTTTCCTGCTCAGCAAATGCCTAGGATTTTCCAGCACGCGTGGACGTGGTTTGAATTCGATGAGTGCCTGTGTTCGTGCGTCGAATAGCCACAACGCGAAGCGTCGCGAGGCCATCCCCCCGTCTGTTGCCTATTTTAGGAAGTTCGCTCGAGGTGGTCTTCCTCTTAATTAGGCCTCATGCAGTGTCTACTGTGTTCGGGCAGTCTTATGTCGTGACACATTTACCCGGTCAACTAATTAGCGCATTCGACCGACAATCGCTCACCTCAATTCTAGGCAGGGCCACCACAGATGCGTTTGGCGCTAGACTAGAAACTTCTGTGCTCAGTCAGTATGACCGCATCCCCCTGCGTCTTCGCCTAATATACTTAAGGTCTCATGTTAGCGAATAGAAATTTGTCTTCTAAGCCTCAGCGTGTCTGGCCATAGCCTAAAGTCTAATGTGGAAAAGTATGAGCATTACTCTGCGGAGAAAGACGTGACCTGTCAATGGAGTGAACGTGTGACACTCCTTCCTTGTGATTGGAATCTTGATCGATCCTCTGACAAGACGCTCGTTGCCTCGGCAACCGAGCTGATGGGCGGACTGAGTATGACCGAGTAAGATTTCAAACACAACAAGTAAGTGTCGTGCACCAGCATCTTTAACAAGTTTAGAAACCTAACATGAGAGGGCAGATGACTGACCTCTTGCGTACTGACGATCGGCAAGGACTTTAAACACCTGTTTGTTTGTGGTGTATAAGGACGTTACCGAGCTTTCAAACACGTGTGTCTTGTCCGGTGAAGCCGATACTATAGGTCTGGCACAATGCCAATCACCTCCAGTGTGAATGAACCCGATACTTGATAGGGAAAGCTGAGATCACCATCAGAAATCTTCAATTTCCGATAAATATTCGGCTAATTTTGCTGGAAGTCATTCAGTACTGAGGAAAAAGGAGATTTTATTCCTCAGTTTGATCATTTTATTACTCTTTGATAACACTTAAAATGTCAAATTAAGCTCTTACGCTGACCTCCTCCTCTAAGAGTGCAACAAGATTAGCAAAGCTGTATTTTACCTCGGAAAATTGTGGTTTTTGCCCTCGCAGTGCGGAATGACGTTGTTGACGTATTAAAAAAACCTTTGTGTGGCAAATTGGAGCTTTACTAGACTCGGCTTTCCTCATGAACTTTTGGGATTTTGCGCGCAAACGGTAAACGTTACGTGTTAGAACAATGACACGGTTCGGCAAAACAAACAACGCACCAATGTGAGCGGGCTAACTTGGCCTAGAAATCACGTGTCAGTGGACGTTGACGATCATGTTCGTCAGTAGGCCGGCATCTTATCGTGCGCGGGTCTGCTACGGCCGAGCGGCTTAGTTAGATCACTGAACGCATAGTTTTGTTGTCTGGCCAGTCAGACAAGACGGCTGTGCTATGTTCCCCAAACGAAATACCCTGCGCTGGTAAGCTGTGTGATCTTATTCCGTGCAAAATACCAAAATATCGGTCAAAATAACTTTCCTTCCATTCTTAAAGCTCGACTATTAAGCCTAGGCGCTTGATAAGCTGGCTATAGAAACGGAAAACACAAAGATCTTGCAAGGTGTACAGGAAGTCTTTGAAATCCTGCTATGATTTTCTTGACCAAGCTCACATGAAGGTTCTAATGAACCACTTTTTGGGTGCGTGTTTATGCCCATAGTTTATTACCCATACGCAAATTGTTTCATTATCAATAATATTTACTCGTGCGCTCTCACATGCATGCAGTGACCCATCTGTAAGTTGAATACTGTTTCAGGAAAAGTAGGCCGCGAGGATCCATGTAGCGCGTTGGTGGTGATTTGGGGTTAAATCCCAAATTTGTTAGAAAATTCTGAAGATGTTTCAGTTCGCTAGGAGCAAGGACATCACTCATATCAATTTCCCCAATAGGCCTGACGTTACTCTTATAGGACTCTAACGGGCGCCTTGCTTTGGAAAGTCAAATTTTGATAGTCAGTTATTCAACATCCCGATATCTGATGTAATTATGAAATCAAATTAACTGATTTGACGTCACTTTAGGCAGTCACAGGAATGCGACAAATACGATGCAAGTACTGAACTTCAACAGTAACCACCCAATCAGCCACAAACACAGTTTTGTAAGGACGCTCTATCGGCGTGTCGAAACGCACTGCAGTGAGCCGGAAGACAAAAGTGCCGAACTACAATACCTCCGACGGGTCTTCAAAGCCAATGGCTACCCGCGCAACTTCGTCGACCGGTGCATACGCAAAAAGGACGAAAGGCCTAACCGCACGGACACCAAATCTTGGCGGGCACTTTCGTATCTCAAGAACGTTTCGGAAGATGTTGGCCGCCTTTTCGCACCACTTGGGGTTGGAGTGGCACACAGACCGTAAGGCAACCATCAGGCGTCTGGTCATGAAACCGAAAGACCCACTGCCACGGCTAGAAACGTCTGGAGTCGTTTATCGGATCTGGTGCAGTTGCGGACAAAGCAACTACGTCGGAGAAACCGGAAGACAGCTCCGAACGCGAATGGCCGAACACGCTGCAGCAGTGCGGAGAAATGACGCCAGCTCTCAAGTTGCGGCTCATTCGACGGGTTCCGGCCACACATTCAAATTTGACGAGGCCGAAATTCTCGCAAGAGGTGACAACCGCGTGAGCCGGGAGCTGCTTGAGTCATGTTTTACTGGCCCCCAGTCCACCAACAAGTGCAACGAGCTTCCCACTCCATACTGCGTGCTCAAATTTCGCCTAGGCGGAGTAACAAGCCATGCGGGGGAGCAGAGGTGAACACTTTTCCCAACACCGGGGTCGGTGCGTCAGATGGTCGAGCAATCATCACGCCAACATCCAACGCATGTGATGAAATTGCAGCAATTATCGTCTCGAATGTCGGCCATCAAGCAATGATCACACCAAGTGCGACGATCGCGGATGAAGGGGGGAGCCATAAATGTTCATAGGTATGCGGTAGCATGGCTACTGCATCCCATAAATACCGCAGCCCCTTGTGCAGCAACCACCCGTTTCTGCTTTTTTGTCTCTGGTGATGGATTCGAGTAGGAATCCGAAACGTCAGGCTAATAAAGCTCTTGTCCCGGCGATCGTGTCTCCTTCTTCAAGTCACAAAGCTGGTCAAACGCCATCGTTATAATGGCGGCTATCGTTTCGTTGAAGGTGGGCAAGAAGGATTTTGAAGTATGTCAGATGTGTGCAAACTTTTACGCGCAAAATGCCCTCATCGGTATTATCTGCCGGCTATCAACTTCGAAAGAGGATAGGCTCTACACAAAGATGACCTTAACGGCACTCTCCACTGGCAATCATCTTCGAAATTGAATGGACTCTGCGCTCACGCAGAATTTAACGAGGTGCCATTTTTCGATGTAAGAAGTGCATTCATTGGTCGCGTGATGGGACATGCTCTCAGGCTCGATCCAGAACCCCCCAGGCAGTCGCACGACTAGTGGTGTACGAGGATTGTGGAATCGAGGCTCAGGTGCTGAAAAACTGAGATTTGAGTAGAGCTGGCTGACGAGAGTTCGACCTTCGTTGCCGACGATGTCCACCGTGTGCTCCATAGGGTGAATCAGTGGACAGTGACTTGTGCTTGAATTAAGTTATAGTGGTAGTAGACCTGCGCAGAATCTACCGCACTCTCTCTCTTCCCCACTCCCCATCTGGACCCGGTGTCAAGACGTAGTCATGAAGACTGGAGACGGGGGAGGAGGCAGGTAGCTATTACGGTCGAGTCCGTAACTTGGTGTTCCACTCCTAAGTGCCTGGTCCACACGGCAAATTACCGGGATTTTGACCAACAAAAAAGGGTGGCTGGCACGGCCAGAGCCGCATCTACGCATGCCCCCACGCCTGGTTCGGATTCCACGGAGTGGGATCGCCATAAATGACGCATTGAGAAGGAGCCATTGCAAACTTACTCTTAGACCACGAGTCAGCCACTCCACACGAACACAGAAAACTGGGTCGACTGCGAGGTCTAAGTTATCCCTTCAGTTATTCAACCTTTCAAGACACGGTTTTTTGCTTACTGCGATAGGTCCAAGCTCATCAGATTGTTTGTAATTAAGAAAGTGCGCTGAGACGTCGACCTCACTCACCCTTCCCATTCCCACACCTCAGCACCTGTCCGAGCCGGTCAACTGACTGATTTGGGGGATGGGCGCGGTGGTTGACATGGTGGAGTGACCTTGTCTGCGCGCGCCACATGCACGACCTGCCCCCCCCCAAACACAAGCACCAGGATTTCACACAAGGGGGGATGAGCGGCGTACACCTCACACGGCTGCTTCAGCCTGGCTCTCAGCCCACCACTCCACACAAGCACACAAACAACTGGGCAGACTGCGTGGGCGGGTGGTCGACGACAAGTCGGAAGTGGCCATCCCAGTCTCCCTCTTCCTCACTGAAAATCTTCCTCTATTTATAACATTTTTTATTTCTATATGATTACTTTAAAATATCAAGACCTTTTTTTAGAACATTCAAATTTTGTCATATTTGCCTGACTACTCAGACTAATGCATGGTCTACTATGATAAACTAGGTCTGATTGACTCTTAGGTATCTCATTCTTTCCTGGGCATTTACCTAATTGTCTTCATCTCCGTTGCAGGCCCTTACCGTTTTGGTTGTTATTGAAGACCCATTGAAAATAAGTATGAGTAAGCTACTTTCCACCACTATTCCAAGGAAACTTGAAAAGCAAGGACATGCAATTATGGTTAACAGCTAGTTAGAGCATTTTGAGATAAAGAGTGGCCTTACGAAATATACCTTTAATTCCTCCACAAGACTTAATATGACCATATTTCGTTACGAAGGCTCAGCAGAGATACGGACTTGGAGGCGTCAATTTTGTTACAACCCCAAAACATCAAGCGTTTCATTAATCTTTTGCTGAAAGCAATATCAAGTGGACGCTAATGATAAGAATGAATGGGAATAGTATGTTTCCAAGCAATGCCAACCGACGTACATTCCACTTTACGAGTCACTCTCTAAATTCATCGTCTTAGTTTTAAATCCGGAATTTTCTGCCAATTAAAGTCGTACATCATTACAAAAGAAGACCTAGTTGGACTAAAGAGCAACTTTTACCATACTCTAGACAGCTATACCCGGACTCCAGCCCTAATAGCCCCGGAATTCGGTGCGAGTCCACTTGTTATGCGGACAGCGTACTTATTTCTGCTTATTCGTGTGCTGAGAATAATATGAACTATCAAACAGGGATTTATGTCTCCCTCAATGGCTGGTGAGTACCAAGTGAAATTCAACCGGGACGGGTTCTTCGATGTCTCCTGTGAAATTGAAGGAGTTCGTATAGCGACATTAAGAGGAGACGTGTTCAAAATTATTCAGGAATTGGAAAAGTTTTTGAAGACCGAATTATGTCCCTCCTTCGAGTATAATATTTGAAGGAGACGTAATTTTCTACCGAATGAACAAAACAATGAGTAGTTTTATGCAAGTCTTCTGTGAAATATAATTTAATCTTTAAGGGCATTGAAAATCAATGAAACAATGCATGCTTCTTAAGTAGTCAAATCGAAACAGTTTGTATAGCCTGAGACACAGAACACTCCCCGTGACACTTAACGGAATAACTTCTTGTAAAATTTTGAGCAGTTTGTTTACATCCAAGTGAACCGTCCAAACTTTACACTGAGCCGAGCTCTAAATGCTGTTATTGTTTATCCATCTGCAAACATTTTAAATGGGCTCCCGCATGTCCTTTAGGACAAGCATACCGACAGACATTCGCATACCGTTGTGAAGCTTATATTAAATATTATTATATCGGCCGTTAAAATATTCATTTGACAGGACTGTAAGATGAGCGACCGATCTCATGAAGTGTTGGCCAAAATTCTCAAATGCGTTTTCACTTAGGAAGGATCATTAAGGTGGCGTTGTAAAATGAATAAATAAATGGCATAATGTGATACTATTTCGTTCTTGAGAGTATGTCGGCTATTGAATGCCCTTTTTTGACCTCCCGCAGAAAAGACACTTGGTAGAAATGACTACTTAGGTAGCATGAATTTTTCGCATTGATTCTTGATGGACTTACAAATTTAAATACATCTGATATTAAACATGCACAAAAATATGCTTTCTTTTACCCGTTTGGTAAAAATCACATTTTACTCATATAGTATACCCTGAGGAAGGTTATCATTCAGTTTCAAATAAGTTTCATATTATGCGATTTGTAAGACCATGAGATTTCCACTTATACAGCTTCGCACATGTTCGTTTACTAATGATCCTCACGAAATGTGCAACATAGCCCGTATTCATTGCAAAATTTATAAAATCTATGCAGTATGTTCCTGAAAGCATAGAGGAACATTTGATTTTCCTTAGGCGTAATGCTTGCAGCTTGTTGACTGAAATCGCCAAGTGCTAATGCAATGGCTGATCCATTCAAAATTATTCTTGAATTGGGCAAATTTTTCAAAACTTAAATATACACTTTTTCGAGTATAAAATGTAAAGTTAAGGTGATATTCTACCGAAAGAGTAAAAGAAAGCTTATTTTTGTGCATGGGTTCCATAAAATATATTGAAATCTATAAGACCACCAAAAATTATGAGAAAATTACATGTTACATAAGTAGTCGTTTTCTACTGTGTGTCGTTTATTCAAGAGTTCAAAAGGAAGTGCGTTCAAAAGCCGACAGCTTGCCGAGTCAAACATACTATACGATTATGCTACATGATGTTGAATATTTTAACCCCGCCTAATTTATCCTTCCTAAACGAAAACAACATTTCATGAGATCGGCCACGCGCTATATATATCACCGATGCATTACACGGTTGTAAAATATGAAACCTCCCATCAATTACTGGTTTAAAGTAATTAGCCTTTATGATCTAAATTGACAACAGGCTTCTTCTGGATTCTCTCAGAAAGTAAAACTTTTAAAATATTTCTCTCTATTCCACATACTTATCCCAATAGTCATCATTCAATGATATACAAATAGCTATTTTAAAGTTTAACTAACATTAGCCAGTGACAAAGTTTAAAGGACATTTCCAAGTCTCGTCCCAAACAAATGCTCAATTGATTTTTCATTAAACTCAGAAGCAACACCTGATATGCGCATGTGCTAGCATCATATGGGCTCTGTTTCAGTGTCCAGCCGATATATTTTTCAAGTGCACCTGTATCATTTTGGGCTTTTTCTGCCTGCCTGTCTCCCTGCTCTCTACCGTCGTTCCGACCCCCACACCGCCCCGCCTCCATACCGAGAGCCCTCAAGCGTGCATTCTATTGGCCCGGCAGGTCACATTAAGTGAAGACCCACCGTTGCTACTCAACCTGCAAAAAGCGTCAGTGAAGCATGAGAAGATTTGTGATGCTACTGACCATTGAAAAAATATATAATTCACCTGAAGTACCGTTTTATTGTTGCCGGCCGGAGCTGCCTCACGCAGAAGGGGGGTTCTGTCAGCAAGAGGACCGTCGCATATAGCATGCACTGGGCGCATGCTCAAGCCGCGGTACATCTTTCTGACGCCGATGCAAGAGAGAGCACGCCCGACATGGGTAAACGAGAGGATGGTCATTATTGGGGGAATTACTGTTCAACTAATATGTACTGATGGAAAGTTGCCAGTCCGAAGGGGAGAAAGCGGTCCTCGCCGTGCTTTTGCTTCGCACATTTTTGGGCCAAAGTTTGGCGAAAGAGGGCGATTAATAAATGGCTGTTGCGTAGTAAACGTTCAGTGTGTGGGTTGGAAATTGTACAATGTGTTGGAGTACTACAGAAATCCGGTGTATAGTGACCTGGTCTCACTGCTTGCAAATACTATTGCGTCAATGATTTAGGATGCACAATCACAGACCTGCCTGAGAGCACAGTAGTGCACTAACACAAACGGCCCCCGTGGGATAAGTAAGGCCCATTAAACGGCCTCTGCAGATGTTAGGGAGAGGTCGAGGTGTTTTAGTTTTTTGTGAAAATCAAGAGACCTTGACTTCGTGAACGAAATTTTATCAATTGCCACATGAACGGAAAACCAAGGTTGCGCTTTTAAATTGTACCCTCTTTTAAACAACTCTACCATCTGCCAGTCTACATTTTTTGTCAGCAAACTGTACGCTATGCCTTCCGTCCTAATGCAGGCCATTGATGGGACCGTAAGAAGAGGTAACGAAAATATACGTCTTTGGTCACGAAAGAGTATACTCTGTTTCCGGAAAGCTGTCGCGGGGTTAATGTGCAATGAAGACGCACGATTACTGAATAAAATGATGTTGAGTTCCCCTACTGTTTTAGAAAACACTTGACTTGTTTATTTCCTGAAAATTGCCCAGGAATCATCTAGAGCTCGCCTACTTCAACCATGGGCGTTGAATCGAACCAGAATAGATGAATTGAGGGCAGTGGATAACCTACTGAGATATATTTTTCTCCGATATATCCTAGGAGATTAATCTTTCGGATACGTCCCACCACTGAACCGCGCCTGTCCATGACTTGTGTAGGGGATGTACCATCTCATGAAATGTTTATCACAAGTTTAGAATGTGTTTCCAATTCGAAAAAATTACTTAAATGAGGTTGTCATGTTAATAATCGTGTTAAATAATGCCACAATATTCCAGCCACGCCACGATGCCGGCTATCGAATGAAGATCTCATCAACTAGTTGTACGAATCACATTCCTTATAAAATGGCCATTTATGTAGTATAATTTTTCACTAATTGTTAATACCCTTGTAGACCCAAATTTATTTTATATAAATGATGTACAAAAATATTCATCCTTTTACTCATTCGGTAGCTGATAACATCTTCTTAGGACTTTATACCCTTAGAAAGAGTACCTTTTTATATCGAATAATTTTCTTATTGGGGGATTTTTCAACGCAGTTAAATGCCTAATGGCACAGCACTGCATCAGCATATTTATTAATACCATTTATAAAATAGACATTGTGGTTCACATCCATTGCAAAACTGCATGAGCTCTATATGTCCTCCTCGCAATACTAAATTAAGATTAATGATTTTCCTTGCACGATAAATATACAGCTTGTAGTTCAGAAACCATGAATGCAAGTGCATCGGCCGGTCGGGTTAAAAATTATTAGGGAATCAAGAAAGTTTTTTATAATCAAACGATGCTCTATCTTCAAGTATAAAATTTGAACAAGACGTCTTTTACTACCAGATGATTTAAAGATAGAATACTGTGGTGCTTGTTTTCTTCTAAGTATATTTGAATTTACATAAGTTTCGAAAATCAATGGAAATAATTCATGCTACTCAGGTAGTCCTTTTCCGAAATGTAGTCTATGCAAATGGTCAATAAAAATTCTCTTTGGAAGCTGTTTTTTAAAGTGATTGGAATACCTTAAGGGTATTTAACATGAAAATAAATATGACAGCCTTACTTGGGTAATATTTTAGGATTGAAAACACATTTCAGAATTCGAGCCAACATTTAATGATATAGCATATTTACTTAATTGGCAACACGAGGGACGACCGTGTGTCCGTGGCTCGTGGCAATTTAACATCGGCGGGCGTAGTTTTCATCCTGTGTGGGGGCTGGCGATAGAAATTTCGTCGGAAATGCCGCGTATTTAGGCCGTGCAACTGCGCTTTTGGGCTACAGTTCCTAAATGATAATTCACAGTTGCTACGGTTTGGGTGTGCCGACCATGGCAGTAGCCCTAAAGTTCAGCAGTTTTGTGCATGCATACTGCAGGCGCAGCGGAACAAAAAATCACGGGGTTTGGCTTGCTGCCTGACAGGCTCGAAATAAGAAACGGTCGGCCCAAACCAGCATTCCAAAAAAAGCGAAAGACAGGCTGGAAACTCGAAGACTGCCCCATGATAACCAAGGATTGAGGGAACATTTTGTATAGGTAGGGCTTATATAATCGTGTCATGTAGATGAGGCTGAACACTTGTTGTAATCATTAAAAAGAAAAACTTCGAGTAGTAAGTAGACATACCATCAAGGTCAAAGTGGCTCCAGATATCGGAGAATTGTTCGGCAGTTAGGTGGCGGAATTTGCATCCATCCTCATCGAAGTACTGTTTCAGAAGGTTTTCCCTCGGCGACTCATTGCTTTCGTTTATAAGCGCCTCACCCGGATTCATGCTTAAACGACGGCAGGACATCTCGACGGGGCATGCTTTAAAAAAATAAACAACCCCTTGTTTTAACTGCTCCCATTTACCAATCACAAGCCCTGGCCGTTGATTGGGCGCTCCCGTGTGATAGCATTCACGCAAAGCTATGCGAAGGCCACACTAGCGGAGATTTTTGAGGAATAGATCTCACTGTTGGCACTTGTCAAAAGTGATCCTTTTCACGCTTAGTCACATTTTTTGCCAATCTGTGTGAACCGGAATTTTTCCGTTTTGACCGATTTTGAATGGCAACAATGAAAATGTTCGGCGAAGTGCTCTAAAAGAAAGCCGACTTAGCGAAGGCAATTTACAGTCTACAGGTAGCTCACACGCCTTTAAGCATCGGCATCAGATCATGCGTGTTTGCGAATTAAAGACGCAATATTTCAGTGCTAACCTAGAAGAAAACTTACGGGAGGCATGTACAGTAATTTATTCACCATGGTGATTTTCCACTTCCTCATAAGCTCACGCATACACAAGATTATCATGCGTAGAAGCAAAAAATAGGTTGCTAGGATACTCGAATTCTCCACTCCGCATTTCAGTGAAGATTAGCCGACGGAACAGAAAGCAGTGGTGGGTTTTCATTTCCAAGCAAAGTCAAAGATTACTTGGAATCGAAAATGTCAAAGCTCCTGGCTAAGGAGCAAAAGCCGCCTCGGAATTCAGACAGAGCCATACTTTCCCAAACCCGTTTCTTGTCTTGGACGCGCGGAAAGCTAAGGCGATCTTGTATCCGCATCTATCATGTGTCCGCATATTCAGAGCGCGCTGCATTATCTCGAGTTAAGATTTTCCTCCCTAAAGAGCTACAGACAATTCTCGTTCAATGCTCTTGCATATATGTTGGCCATAGAGGTCAACGTTTAGGTATTCGTATTAATAAACACCCACCAGCTGTCTGTCGACATGACGCCTTGTCCCCTTTACCAAGTCCCCGCATCACAAAATGCCCACTCCTTCGGCAAGAACAATGGCGAAGACGTCACGATGTCCAACACAAAAGGGGTACAGGAATTTCTCGATCAGTCGTAACGCAAAACCGGTATTATCAACCATCAGGTCATCCTAAACGCTCATCAGAAGGATGCAGAAGCACCTGTATCCCCTAACCAACGACCGCCCGTCTCGTTTCGCTATCCTCTTCCTACAGAAACGCAGCACACATCTGTACGACCCCCCCTCTCAGGCGCCAGGGTTTTGTTTATGCACTTCCTATGACCCAAGACACACTGAACTGGTAATGTCGCCCATCTCGTACTCATTTCGTATGTTGACGGGTTGATATATGTAACATTAAAGTTTATGGTTGTACATCGGTTTTTTTTCCAAAGACTCTCGTTGTCGGCAACAATCTTTGAGATAAGCAAAGCGTGAGCAGAGGATCCTTTAGGGTTTTTTTATCATCAGCCATCTGGAGCTTCCTTATCAGCGTGCAGGGAAAAGACGAGGCAGATGGCAGAGCAGAGCTCTATTTTTGGACTTCCGGTGACCTTGCACATAAATACGTCTCGCTCATCAGAGTATGGGCAGAACGAATTCCCCACTCCTGTCTGGTGAAAAATACCCTTAAAGCTCTGCCGTCATCCCATAAATTTATAACAATCGCCCAGTCCAGACAGTATAAAATGCTGCAACATACACACCCTGGATGCCTGCTAAATGGCTATCATCAGCGCGGTTCTGTTTGTGAAGGTAATCTTTCGAAACAGGACTCTTCAAATTACCACTCAAACACCAACTATGACTTGTGGTCATGCTGTTGTCATCTGTTGGGCAAAGCCTCAGGCATGTCCGTGGGCTGTGTCCAACACAGCAAGCAGCTCAACTGATCGGTTTACTCTAAGTCTAAAACCCCTAAAATTTCCCCAGCAATCGATTCACAGTTACTACTTTTAGGACTTACATCCATCTTTGCTGAGACTAAACAAGGCATTGAATGAGAGTACAAGGCTGTCTTCGTGAAGAATAATAGTCCGCAAAGAAGCACGCCGCCTAGATCTAAAGTCTGTTCATTTCCGCCCAGCCAGCGCGCATATTACGTTTCCTCGAGTGACATAAGCGTTGACGTCATCCCGAGAAGGCGGAAGGCGGAAGGTTGAGGCTGGCCCATTTAAATGCCATTAGGCATTTTCTGCTTACATTAAGACCGGGGATTTATGTAGTTATGGCTTTGTACCGGCGTACTTACCAGCTAAAAAGACCGCTGACGGTCATGCAAGCTGCCCACTGGAAGTGAAAACACAAGTAATTCTTGTTTGTGGAACGAAAGGCAAATAAATAAGTGCCCACCTGCTGTTTCAGCTGTCAATAATCCCATATATAATTCCATATAACTCGTCTTACCATCTTCTTCAATGTCAACTTTTGGGCTCAGCATTTTTGCCCATATCCATATATATATGTATATATAAAGTAGGCGGGCTAACTCAAGCAATGTCGACCGAAATTCCAAATTGCGTTTTCGTTCCAAAAATATGGATTAAATGGAGTTGTTAAACTAACCGCCGAGCAGCATAATTCTAGAAAAATTCAGTTACCACAGAATGTCGGCTTTCGAGAGAAATTCTTTCCGGTTGCATGCAAAAACCACACTATGTAACAAATGACTACTTAAGAAGCATGCATGTTTCTAATTTTTTCTTCGACGACCTTAACAATTCAATTATATTCCGTGGAAAACATGCATAGTTATAATCATTCTCTTGCTTCTCGGTAGGAAATTGTGTCTTCTTCTAATTCTATACTAAAAAAGGATAAAATTTTGTTTCAAAAGTTTCTAATCGAAGATTGTTTCCCACCGTGAAACGACCGTTCATAAGACGTCCTGTGGCTCAGATCCACCGCTTAATGTTAAAAACCACACATGATCTCCTCCTAATGCCGTAGAGAAATGCGTGGTTTTCCGTACGCACAAAATATACGGCTTGTGTTTTTGAATCCTGAATGCAAGTGTAGTGACAGGTCGCGTTGAAAATTACTCGAGAATTGTACATGTTTGTTAAAACCGTGTAAAAATGGGTATAAAATTGGAAAAAAGCACAATTTCCTATCGGCTGAACAAGAGAATGAATATTTTATGTGTGTTTTCCATGGAATATAATTGAATTTTTAAGGACATTTAAAAATAAATTAGAAACATTCATGCTTCTTAAGTTGTCATTTTCTACATAATGTGATTTTTGCATGCAACTGGAAAGAGGTTCTTTCGAAAGTCGACATCCTGTGGTAACTGAAGTATTATAGGATTATGCTATTCGGTGGTTAGTTTTACAACGTTATTTAACTATAGATGCTTTGGCAGGTTTTGAATAGTTCATACTGAACCGACTGCTAAAAATTCAGCTACTCGGTGGGATTCGAATCCACAACAGTAAGGTGAAGGCTTTAGTGCAGCCAACGCTCTAGCCACCTGAGCTACGAGGCCCCGCCAGACGGCCCAAATGTGATTAAACCCGCGTCGTCTGGCGGGACCTCTTAACTACGGTGGCTAAAGTATTGGTTGTACTAAAGCCTTCACATTACTGTCGTGGATTCGAATCTCACCGAGGCGCTGAGTTTTTCACCGTTCGGTCGACATGAATCTGTTTAATTAGTCTTTTCGAAACGGTAAGGCGTTTCGGAATTTCAGTTGACACTTCATGAGTTAGCTCGTCTACTGTATATATCAGCGAGAAGGCATATATATATCTTCAGTGCGTGACCAATCTCATGAAATGTTGGCTGAAATTCTGAAATGCGTTTTCGATTGGGAAGGATTAATTGATCGCGGTTGTAATACTGATTATCTTAAGGCATATTCTTATAACAATTCGGACTCAGAAGGATGACGGCTTTTAAGTGCACTTCTTTTCAATGTCCTGTAGAATGCGTGCTCTGTAAAACATTACTACTTAATTAGCATGCGTTTTTCCCATTGATTTTCGATGTTCTTGGAAATTCAAATATATTCTATAGAAACCATAAACAAAAATATGCTTTCTTTTAGTCGATCAATAGAGAATCACGTCTTCTTTATATTTCATACTTAAGGACGGACTATAATTAAGTTTTAAGAAAGTTTTTAATTATGAGACCTTTTAAGACCGCGAAATGTCTATTCACATAGCATCGTACTTGGCTGTTTACCACTGCTTCTCATGAAATGTACAACATGGTCCGCATCCATTGCAAAACCTTATGGACTCTATATGGTATCTTTTTAAAGGCATAAAAGATTATGTGATTTTCTTTACGCGGAACGCATGCACCTTGTAGACTGAAATCACTAAGAGCTAATGCAACGAATGATCAGGCTCCAAATTATTCGGCAATTAGAAAACTTTTTTAAAACCTAACTATACTCCTTCCTTAAGTATAAAATATAAAGAAGACGTGATTCTCAATTGATTAACTAAAAGATGGCATATTTCTATAAAGTATATTTGAGTTTCCAAGACCATCGAAAATCAATGGGAAAAATGCATGCTACTTAAGTAGTAATTTTTTACCGAGCACGCTTCCTACGGGAGATTGAAAAGAAGTGCATTTAAAAGCCGACATCCTTCTGAGTTCGAAATGCTATAAGAGTATGCCTTACGATAGTCAGTATTACAACCGCGACCAAGTAGTCCTTCTTAAACGAAAACGCATTTCACAATTTCAGCCAACATTTCATGAGATCGCTCACTCAGTGTATATATATATATATATATGAATAATGGAGGTAGTATGCATTCCGAGGCGATATAATAAAAGGAGAAGGCTCGTCGGAAAATCGAGGTATACTCGTGAATTTTCAAGTCGGTTACACCAACCCGTCGTCAGACGAAAATGAAAAGTGTGAGGGAGATAATCCTACTGGGGAGTCAGGGGGACATCGAGGTTACATCGACAAGACAGGCGTTTGTGTGTGGGGGTGAAGAACGTGTTTTGATAGGTGGCGGACGTTAGGGGTGGTGTTGGGGGTTTCACACATGGTTCACTGTGTGGGGGAGGTGCTGAATCCATGATATTCTACATGGCCGAACATGGATTAGCAGTTGGTGGCTTAGGGTGGGCGCAAGCCGGCGAACCGTGAACGTAAGCCTTCGTATTGAGCGTCCAAGTCGACATGGCGGTAATAGCAATAGCATCAACCGCCATGTCGACTTGGACGCTCAATACGAAGGCTTACGTTCACGGTTCGCCGGCTTGCGCCCACCCTAAGCCACCAACTGCTAATCCATGTTCGGCCATGTAGAATATCATGGATTCAGCACCTCCCCCACACAGTGAACCATGTGTGAAACCCCCAACACCACCCCTAACGTCCGCCACCTATCAAAACACGTTCTTCACCCCCACACACAAACGCCTGTCTTGTCGATGTAACCTCGATGTCCCCCTGACTCCCCAGTAGGATTATCTCCCTCACACTTTTCATTTTCGTCTGACGACGGGTTGGTGTAACCGACTTGAAAATTCACGAGTATACCTCGATTTTCCGACGAGCCTTCTCCTTTTAATATATATATATATATACATCCTACACCAAACCGATTTGCATTTTTTTTTAAAAATTCTTGTCTAAATGAGGACGCAAATACTCAACTAGAGTTTGCAGAAAAGTCTATACCGTGGGCCCAAAAGCCTGTGACTGTCCGTTTTTGTGGCTGTCAGGGTACCGCTAACTCCTACCGATTTAGATACGTTCAAGCTGCCTGTCAGACACTGTTTGCACCCCTACGACTAGATATCGTGTTGCCGACAACGCGACATCGATCGCCGTTTTTCTCTTCACTGATAAGCCGCAGCCGGACGAGGTTCAGGTGCATACATCTCGCGCTAGAATGCTGGCTCACAGATGTCACTGCCTGTTCAGCCGTCGTAGCAAACGCGGTCCAGTGAACTCCATCTCCTCGGTCCTTGTGAGTTTGGAAATGTCGTTTTGTCAATTTGTGTACTTAAACACGCCTAGTCTGGTGTGGGCGCTTAAGAAAGGCCTATGGAAAACATTGACATGCCGCACACTTTTGCGAGACTAGTCCGTGCAAATGGTATCGATCGTGTTAGACCAATTGATGCGAAAGGTGTTTGTATGTACCTCTGAGTCTGCTCAAGGACAGTGATAGTGATGCGTTCAAAATCTCCATACCTGTCTATAAACGCCGGCATGTCGACGGAATACTGTAGACAACCTCTGTTTTCACTTAAATCTGCCGCTTTATTGACCCCTGTTACTGAGCGGTGTAGAGAGCCGATCAGATGTAAGCGTTTGCCATCGCTGGCGACGGGCTAACCATTGCATCGGGAGTCATTTGTGCAAAAGGTTTTTCATAATGATACAGACTTTCGAAACAGCTGTTCCGTGCTAAAATGGAACCTTTATCACTAACCTACATATCAGTCTGAATGTCCCAAGGTGGTCTTCTGAAGTCTTGAAAAATACACTGATAAACCGGAAAGGTATTTGTCCCTTTTGAACTCCTCCAGAAGTGGATGTAGACTACTGGAGACCTTTACGTTTACGATAAAATCTTCCGGCGTCGATACATTTACGACGCACATTTAGACCAAAAAGGAAAATAAAATGAGTGCACGTGATACAAGCCTTTTCTATGTGTGTATAAGGAAACTTAATTGGCGAAAAAGACTGTAAAGAAATAAAAGGCCGGTTGAAATTATTCTACCGGGACAGTGCCACAAATAAAGCAATTTGATACTGGTATAATGGTCTCGATGACTAGGCAGCTCTATTCCTAACAACGGTACACACACACGCACACACCGTCGACCGTTCCGTCATTGCCAGCGATGTCCACAGTGTTCACTACAGCAAGGTGAGAGTAGGGACGGTGAATTGTGAGTGAATTAGTTTACGACGATAGTAGAATTGCACAGCATGTACCGCACTCTCTCCTCCCCATTTTGAACCCAGTGTCAAGACAGAGTCAAAAAGACCGGAGGGGTTTCGATCGAAACCGACAGGGCAACGGGTTCGTGGCCCAGTGGTTAGAGGCGTGGACTTCTAACTAACAGATCGCGAGTTTGAGCCTCGGGTGTCCCACACTTCGGGGTTGGGTATCTCTGGCTGACGACGGCTAATAATCCAGAAATGGCCATTCCACTCTCCCCTGTCTTTGTCGGAAATAACATACTGCCCCTATTATTCGCCGCTGTACGCTGCTGGTTGGGCTCGAGAGGAAGAGAACGTAAGGCACAACGGCTCGAGTGATGTCCGTAAGAACGATCGGTGAGCGTCCTCTATCATTATATATATATACACACACTACAGGACTTCCCACAGTCTCTGACGATGGCCTCCTGTACGAGACCGAAAGCTCAGACTAATAAAACCACTGTCACAGAGATCGCGTCTTCATCTTCTTTACACTACAGGACTGTTCGACCGTTCCGTTGGTCCAGGGCGTTTACCACGTGGCCCATTTGGGGGCCACACACAAACCGATAGATGCACGAACAAGGTAGTTGAGAATGCGCACACGTACTGGAGCCCTCAGCAATCAGCAGTAGACTAAGTCCGCTGTGCGCAGGTTTAAATCGGGAGTTGCACAGACACAGAGACATTCACCGTCAGACGCTGATTGCTTCCCTGTCGGTGAGGCCTAACGGCGTATAAGGCAGGCATGGAAGTACTGGGTTTGCGCATATTCAGCTAGCAGCAGATGTCTGCCTCGCAATCACTCAGCCGACGAAGTTGCAATGCTAGTTAGTGTTGGCTGCGGAGGGTGGATTTTCCTGAGATGTTGAAAAGCAAGTGCGCGGACACATATACAGAAGGAGCGTGTGGAAGAGAAAATTGTCTATGATGTGATAGATTCACATTTTGATCGAAATTTCCGTCAGAAGTGCCCGGCTACCGATGTTGATTTCCTTCACCTTTTCGCTCAGGGAAACTTTAACATTATAATCACGGGCACTCGCAGGAAGTTCGGTGACTCCACTGGTCATCTTAAAGAGTAAAGGTGCGTTTTTAGTCTAACCCTGGAATAAATAAGAAACTCGGGATCATGGGATTACGGGATAAGGCAGCACACATTCCAAGTTTCCCATCAAAACTCCGATCAAATTTGTGTTTCGTCGTCTCCGCAAATCGACCGTCGGTATTGGAGCTCGTTATTTCGCCATTTGAATATCGTCAGCAATGTGAATTAGTTTAAGCCATGCAGAAATCTCCATTGCAGGATACAGTATAACATCTGGTGGACAGAAATTTTTTTTCAATAAATTCGCATGAGGGCAGCACATTGATAAGCCATCGATACTAAATTAAGATGTAAGCAATAAAATCATTCGATTGAAATTCAGTGTCTCCCAAAAATGAGGTGGGGGGCTATGTGAGGACAATTAGACGCAGCCAATACATCCTATAACAGTCAACGATGGTGCATAGGAGGGGAGGGGGACAAAGAGAAGGTTGGGAAGAATAGTGTCAAGGAGAGGAAAGAAAGAAGTCGAAAATTGCACGTAGTTCGCAGGTAATTGAGTCCCGGCCATGGCAAATGCGAGTCCTACACCAAATTCTTCTGTGCGTGAAATACTAGCTGATTAGAAACAGCAGAACTTATGCGTCTGTCCGTCTCACCGTCTTTTATTTTTTTCAGTGACGCCGAAGACTTATAAAACGTCAAAGTTTACTCAAATAATATCCGTAATCAGTCGCTCTACATGTTCCCTGCCTTCTCCACACATCCGAAGGTGAAAGTACAGTCCTAGCCTGCCATGGGGATAATAATAATCAAGTTTTGTTGCAGCACTGGGGGATTTTGCCGTCTCAGAAGAAGTAGACTTCTTGGGAAGGCGACATCAAACATGCCGCCGGAGATGGTTGCATTACGTGCACGCCCCGAGTCAATTACCGTTCGTTTTGCCAGCCCATTCGGTTTGCTGACGTCGGCCTTGAGTTAGATGTGGGAGGCAGCTACCCAGATCTTCCCAGAGCGACAGTTAATTCCGCCAAGAAGTCAGACGAGGCGAAGCTTTGGCACTAAAAGCCATCCAGTTCGGGCATGATCCGTCTACCTCAAGTGGGACGAACAGGTTACGCACACGGCTCCTGCGAAGTCTGTCTAACGACACAACAGCCGCCGCAGATACAGGGGAGTACTAATTTCTCTTTCGTCACTCTTTTGCCTACATTATCGGACCCTATACTTCATAAAAGTGAGCTAAGTAAGTGGAGCTGAATAGAATTAGTCGAGTTCCGTAAAAACGATCGGTGAGCACCCCCTCTACCATTGCACATCACCGACCGCAGCCGGCAGGACAAGGAGTCCGCGGCTCAGTAGGTAGGAGGATTGGACTTCCGAATTACGGGTAAAGGGATCAAGCCCCAGGTGTTCCACTCTTCGGGGTTGGGTATGAATGGTTGACGACGGCTACTAAGCCAAAAATGGCCATTCTAGTCTTCCTTGGCTTTATCCGTAATACAACTCTGGCTGTATTATGCGCCGCTGTGCGGCTACTGGTTGAGCTCAAGGGAGAGAGACTGCCCGTAAAGCACAACGAGACGAGTGAGTTCCGTAAAAACGATCGGCGAGCGCCCTCTCTACCATAAAATAGCTGACAGAACACAAACGCTCACGTGGTTCAACAGTGACCTCAAGACGTCGTTCTTGGTTTTGCGTGGGTCATGGAAGTTTACTTTGACAATTTTAGAGCTGTGCCGTAGACAGCTAACGTTGGTCCGACCAAAGCGATTTACGACGGCCAGTTTGCCTTCCTCGTAGCGGCCGCGGCACAGGTGGCAAGTGTGGTTTTTAATAAGGGCGATGTTCGCAGAATCTTTTGATTATCAAAGAGGGCACGGGCGCAGTGGCCGGAAAAACACGTCTACACGTGCCACACACGTCCCGATTTCGATAAGGTCGTTTTGAATTGCACACCCATGAGAGTGCCCGTAGGGCGATCTTCAAATGGGATCGTTGCCGCCAGACTTTCGATCCAGTGAATTGCGGAGTCATCCCATCCGTTTGTGCCTTTCCAAGCCACTAATCCTAACGCGTCATGATGGATTCAAGCGCATTGGATCGCTTATGTTATAGAGTGCGTTTAGGTACTATGCTGATTAGTTCTGCCCTGTCGACCTCATCCTCTTCTCCCTCTCCCATGCGACAGTCAAATGGCCGAACCTCTCTGACAACTGGTGCCAGGGATCACCCAAGTGGCCGATACGCGTGAAGGTCAATATGATGAACAAAAATCAACCTGGCCGCAGGGCGCTCACCAACCGCGTTACGGAACTTACTCACCCTGTTGTACCAGTTGGGCTTTCTCTTTCGCCGACTCCGCCAGCAGCTACATACCGACAAAGGCAGGGCTGATGGCAGGACTCGCGACAGAGAGAGAGCCTCTGAGCACAACGGGACGAGTGACGCTCTTAAGACGATCGGTGCGCGGCCCTCTGGCATTATTAATATACCCGACAGGACAGCGAGCCCGTTGTTAGGTGGTTGGGACGCTGGACTTCTAGCCAACAGGTCGCGAGTTCGAGCCTCGGGAGGTGCACACCTTGCGGTTGGATGTGACTAGCTTGTTGTCACAAATGGCCATCCTAGTCTCCCTTGTCTCTGTCGGCAGTGTCATTCTGCCGAAATCAACACGGTCAATCCGGAGTGACTCCGGGATTAAAGGGCATTGCTTACTATCTGAAACTGCCGGGAGAAAATGCTTTCCTCGTGCAGAATATGCTTTTAAAGCATTTCACATAGGACGATGTATGATTTTGACAGAAACTCAAGTTACCTTTTATTCGGGAAACGTTTTTTACAAAATGCTCTAAGCCTATATAAGCACAATATTGTGTGAATGTCTAACAGAGGACATTAATCCAAGCTGATGGCTATGCGAAAAACGCTTACGATTTCGAAACTTGTTTTTCCATTTTGCGTAAAGTTAGGTTTAACAACATGCAAATGAGCAGGATTTTTGTAGGAATGCTAGCTTTTTCCCATTTACTAACTACTATTTGCGAGTCTGCTATTCTTATGTCCCAAAAACATTAAGAGCGTCTTCGGGGAATTTTTTATCCAAACTCACTCTCTCTTTTCACGCATGCAAAGTATATCATAAGTAACCGAGACAGTACTCGTCATCGGAAGTCCAATTTTATTCTTCATTTTGCTAATTGAAGCGAAGAGGCGAGTTACTGGAAGTAGTCGCGTAGAAGGAGACACGATCGTTATAACAAGCGCCTTATAACCCTGACGTTCGGATTCTCACTCAAATCCATCATCAGAGACAGAGTCAGATAAGGCCAGTGGATTGCCCAGGCGTTGCAATATTCATAGGATGTAGTTGATAGTCCGCTACATGCCTATCACAGTTGGCAGCAATTTTCTCCTTTTGCCTTTTAGTGCTCACTCAAACGCCCTCGCAAGTATCTGAATTATGGCAAATTAGTATGCAGATGGACTACTGACAAAGGAGAATGACATGGCCATTTCTGATTACCTGAAACAGTCCTTCCAGTCTCCCTCGTCGTTGTAGCAACACCTATTCCATTATTCATGCATCCTATTTTGGCAATATTTCGGAGGCTTCATTCAGAAGGAATCCTCATCTAGGGTTCGATGGAGTAAATCCTTATGCACTGAGGTGTTCACTTGTACTATGGATGCACGATGAATTCCGAATGGACAAGCTGCCTATTTTGGGGATGCGATAACGCGCTGGTCCATAATTAAAGACAGCAGCAAGGGGGGGGGGTTTATGAAACATGGGCGTAGCTATTGTATCACCACGTGGCAACTGAAAGTGTTGGTATTCGATGTGGCGGTTGGCCAATCAGCCGCTTCCCTGCAAATAACTATTTGGTATTGGTAAAAGGCACGACAATTGTTCGAATATTTCATTCAGCGGATAAGCAGGTGGCCATATTTGGCGCCCTTGTCAGCAGAAGAAACTGGATTATTATACTACTGACGACAGTCCACGTAGTCTACTGCTCATCTGCGATAATTAACACGACAATTCACTAGTGACAAGTTGTTATATACATACAGTAAATGGGCTAGCTCATGAAATCTCAACCGAAATTCCGAAATGCGTTTCCGTGTCGTAAAGATTAATTAAATAGGGTTGTAGAACATATCAACGCACAGCATACTACTATAATAATTCAGTTATCACAGGACGCTGGCTTTTTAACAAACGCCTTTTTGGCCACATCCAAAAGCCATACTCCGTATAAAGTGGCTATTATGTGGCATGCATTTTTTCATTGATTTTCGATGCCCTTAAGGACTTAATTATAGTTCATGGAAAACAAGCATAAAAATATTCATTCTTTTGCTCATTCAGTAGAAAATTAAGTCGTATTTTAATTTTACACTCGAAGAAACGGTACAACCTGGTATTATAAAACTTTTCCAATTCCCGAGTAATTTTGAACCCAACCTGCCGTTACACTTTCATTCAGGGTTCATTAACTACAAGCCGTAGAGTTTCCGCGTACGGAAAACCATACATTTCTCTACGGTAATAAAGGGGAACCATATAGGGTTCATAAAAACAAGCTGGGGATTCAAGCCACATTGTTGACTTTACAAGCCACCTTGACAAATGCAGAGACATGTAGTTTTATGAAAGGCCATTTCACGGTATTAAAAAATGCCACAAGTGAAAGCGTTTTTAAAACCGAATTATACCATTTCTTCGAGTATAAAATTGAAAGAAGACGTAATTCTCTACTGAATGAGCAAAAGAAAGAGCATTTTTGCATGTTTTCCGAGAAATATAATTGAATCTTTAAGGGCATGTAAAATCAAACAAAAAATTCATGCTACGTAAGTTGCCACATTTTGCGGAGTGTAATTTTTGGATGCAGCTAAAAAGAAGTTTGTTCGAGAGCCGGCGTCCTGTTGCAATTATTATAGGATTATGCTGTACGATGATTGGTTTTACAATTCTACTTAATTAATCTTTTCGAAACGAAAACGCATTTCGGGCTTTCTGTTGAGACTTCATGAGTTAGCCCAATTACTGCACATATATAATACTGAACGAATTATACCGTACTCCCGACATAGGTACTAACTAAAAGCCCAGCCACGTGTTTCGCTGATATTCTGCCGCTGTGTGACACAGCTGTGAGGTGTCTGGCTCTTCGTTGGGACCCGCAGCGTTCTTTATGCTATTTCTGGTATATGAACTCCAGAGAATAATCAAGTGAAGAATTTCTGAAATTACTCGGTGCAGGACATGGAGTTGAGTCTCGGGGAAATGAGTTCTTAGGGTCAAGTAGTGTCACGCAAGAAATGGCCATTCCAGTCTCCCTTGTCTTTGTCGGAAATATATATATATATATGTGAATAGCGGAGGTAGTATGCATTTCAAAGAGATGTAATAGAAGGTGAAGACTCGTCGGAAAATCGAGGTATACTCGTGAATTTTCAAGTCGGTGTGTGTGTATTATATATCAAGTGAATAAGTTTACAGATAGGTTTGTGCACGACATGGAAGAAAGTATCTGAAACATGAATTTTTAGGGTCAGAACCGAGATTTCAATGAACATTTGACTCGAAGACAATAGACTACTGTGGAATAACCACGTAATGCCCATTCTACAAACAAGTAATATCGCGAGGAGTATGAAATGTTTATATGAAAGTCATTAAACCGTACTTCAGACATAGGTACCATCTAAAAGCCCAGACACGCAACGCGAGTTCGAGGCTCGGGTGTTCCACACTTCGGGCTTGGGTATGGCTGGCTGACGACGGCTACTAAGCCAGAAACGGCTATTCCAGTCTCCCTTGTCTTTGTCGGTAATGTTATTCTGCCTATATATCATGCGCCGCTGTGCGGCTGCTGGTTGGGCTCGAGAGAGAGCCCTTAAGGCACAACGGAACGAGTGAGTTCCATATTAACGATCGGTGAGCGCCCCCTACCATTG